TAAATAAAATATTTAAGACATAAAAGATAAATCTTTTCGAAAAAATATATAAAAAAGATATGATATTGGCTTTTGCAAAGTTTTCTTAGAATGACATTAAATGTGTGAGCAAAAACAACGACAAAAAAACAGAAAAATGTAACTGCACTGTACTTCAAAATTTCTGCACATCAAAAAAAAAAAAAAATTTTCAATACACAATCCCTCCTAGAAATAGGTAAAAATATTTGCAAATCACATGTGATAGGAGTTAATATTCAGAATATATAAACAACTCTTAAAACAATAAAGTTTAATAACTTGATTTGCAAAAAAACAAATAATACAGCTAAATTTTTATCAAAAGAGGTACACAAGGCCAGGCGCGATGGCTCACGCCTATAGTCCCAGCACTTTGGGAGGCCAAGGCAGGCAGATCATGACGTCAAGAGTTTGAGACCAACCTGAGCAATATAGTAAAACATTGTCTCTACCAAAAAATATAAAAATTAGCTGGGCATGTTGGTGTGCACCTGTGCTTCCAGCCACTTGAGAGTCTGAGGCAGGAGAATCACTTGAATCCAGGGGGTGGAAGTTGCAGTGAGTTGAGACTGTGCCACTACACTCCAGTCTGGGCAACAGAGCAAGATTTCATCTCAAAAAACAAAAAATAAAACAAAAACAACACAACAAAAGATACACAAGTGAGAAAAAGCACTTGAAAGGAAATGTGAAATTAATATTTTGTAGAGAAACATAAAATAACAATAAGAAACAAAACTGCCTCACACTCATCAGAATGGGTACTTTTTAAATTAAGACAAAACTTTGCTCTTGTTCCCCAGGCTGTGGTGCAATGGCACGGCCTCGGCTCACTGCAACCTCTGCCTCCCAGGGTCAAGTAATGCTACCCCCTCAGCCTCCTAAGTAGCTGGAATCACAGGTGCCCACCTCTGTATCTGGCTAATTTTTGTATTTTTAGTAGAGACGAGGTTTCACCATGTTGGCCAGGCTGACCTCATGTGATCTGCCCACCTCGGCCACCCAAAGTGCTAGAATTACAGGCATGAGCCACAGCGTCCAGCCTAAATTTTTAAAAACACCAAATCCATTGATGTTACAATGAAAATAAAATTTAAACATTCATGTTTATTGTATCAGTATTCACAAAAGCCAAACCAAAAGGCTGAAGCAACACAGATGTCCCTTGATTTATAAACACATCAAAAAATGTAACATATACATACAATGGAATACTACTCAGTCTTAAAAAAGAAAATTTTGGACGGGCGTGGTGGCTTAAGCCTGTAATCACAGCACTTTGCGGGGCCGAAGCGGGCAGATCACTAGGACTCCTGTTCAAGGCCAGCCTGGCCACGATGGTGAAATCCTGTCTCTACCATAAATACAAAAATTAGCCAGGTGCAGTGGTGGGCACCTGTAATCTCAGCTTCGTGGGAGGTTGAGGCAGCAGAATCGCTTGAACCCAGGAGGTGGAGGTTGTAGTGAGCCAAGATTGCGCCACTGCACTACAGCTTGGGCAACAAGGGTGAAACTCCAACTCAAAAAAGAAAATAAATAAAATAAAATTTAAAAATTTGAAAAGAAAAATTTGTCACATTTTAAGTAAACTTTTAGAATATTATGTCACCTGAATAAGCCAGTAACAATATAATAGTATATGATTCCACTTATGACATACCTCAAGTGGTCATAAAAACAGAAAGGGGAAAGGTGTTTGTCAAGGGCTGCAGAGACAGTAAAATAGATTTTTGTAACTGAATGGGGTATCGACTTTTAGTTTCACAAGATAGAAAATTTTTAGAAGTCTTTTGCATAATAATGTGAACATACTTTTTTTTTTTTAGACACAGTTTTGCTCTGTTGCCAGGTGCCAGGCTCCAGGCTGAGTGCAGTGGCAGGATCTCGGTTCACTGAGACCTCCACCTCCCCAGTTCAAGCAATTCTCCTGCCTCAGCCTCCCTAGTAGCTGGGACTACAGGAGCATGCCACCACACCCAGCTAACTTTTGTATTTTTAGTAGAGACAGGGTTTCACCATGTTGGCCAGGATGGTCTCAATCTCTTCACCTTGTGATCTGCCTGCCTCAGCCTCCCAAAGTGGTGGGATTACAGGCATGAGCAACCAACCGCACCTGGCCTAATGTGAATATACTTAACGTGTCTGAAATGTACAGATTCTTTTTGAGACAGAGTCTTACTCTGTCACCTAACCTGGAGTGTAGTGGAACAATTATGGTACACTTCAGCCTCAAACTCCCAGACTCAAATAATCCTCTCCACTCAATCTCCCAAGTAGCTGGGATCACAAGGTGCACATCACCATGTCTGGCTATTTTAAAAAATTTTTGTAGAGAGGGAATCATGATGTTTCCCAGGCTGGTCTCAAACTTTTGGACTCAAGTAATCTCCTGTCTTTTTTTTTTTTTTTTGAGATGGAGTCTTGCTCTTGTTGCCCAGGATGGATTGCAATGGAGCAATCTTGGCTCACCACAACCAACCACCACCTCCTGGGTTCAAGTGATTTTCCTGCCTTAGCCTCCTGAGTAGCTGGGATTACAGGTGCCTGTGACCACACCCGGCTAAGTTTTTGCATTTTTAGTAGAGATAGGGTTTCACTATGTTGGTCAGGCTAGTCTCGAACTCCTGACCTCAGGCGATCCACCCACCTCGGCTTCCCAAAGTGCTGGCATTACAGGTGTGAGCCACCATGCCCGGCCAATCCTCCTGTCTTAAACTCTGCAAATCCTAGGATTACAGATGTGAGCCACCACTATTTCTGACCCTGAAATGTACACTTAAATAAATTTAAGATGGTAAATTTCATGTTATATGTTTTTACAACAATTAATTTTTCTAAAGGAAAAAGTGAAAAAAAATACAGAATTATAAATCTTTCAAAAATAACCTTCAAATCATAAAAAGTGTTTCTCTCAAAGGAAATACATTATTTATCATTAAACACATGGTGAAAATAAGACTATTTCTATTACTATTCACTTAGACAAGATAAAACAACCATTGTAAATCAGCTAAGAAAGAATAGATACAAGATAAGCCATAACCAAAACTGGGATCATATTTATAGATAAATACATACACACGTATAATTAGATTGTGATAAACATATGACTAATTCATCTCTTAACTGAACCTCATATTGACTTTAAAGTATACAGAATTGCAAATTTTCTATAATTATAATACATAACTAAAAGCAAAGACCACAATATACTGATTTTAAGAAACTACACAAAAAAACACATTAATATGGAACTGCATAAAAATAATAAGAAATTCTTACTCATAAAATATGGCATGCAACATTGATAAACCACTAAAAAAGGATTTGTCGGCCAGGCATGGTGGCTCAGGCCTGTAATCCCAACGCTTTGGGAGGCCGAGGCAGGCAGATCACCTGAGGTCAGGAGTTTGAGACCAGCCTGGCTAATATGGTGAAACCCCGTTTCTACTAAAATACAAAAAATTAGCCAGGCATGGTGGTGCACACCTGTAATCTCAGCTATTGGGGAGGCTAAGGCAAGAGAATCAATTGAACCTGGAAGGCAGAGGTTGCAGTGAGCTGAGATCGCACCACTGCACTCCAGCCTGGGACACAGCAGACTCCGTCTCAAAAAAACGAAAAAAAGAAAAAGAACTTGTCTAGGTAACTACAATATTTGACTATAATTGTGTACTCATGGAAGGTAGGTATTTGAATCATTGGCATGTACTGCATAACAGCAAAATTTCAGAGAAAATGCAGTATAATTATAAATAGAAGATTATATTGAGAAACTTTAAATAAATAAGCATGTAAAAGAAACTAAATTTAATTTTTATGTTTTAAATATATGGGTTTTTTTGGGGGGGGAGACAAAGTTTCACTCTCTTGTTGCCCAGGCTGGAGTGCCATGACAAGATCTCGGCTCACTGCCACCTCCGTTTCCTAGGTTCAAGAGATTCTCCTGCCTCAGCCTCCCAAGTAGCTGGGATTACAGGCATGAGCCACTGAGCACAGCAATGTATTTAGTTTTTACAAAAATTAGCTGGGCATGGTAGTGCATGCCTGTAATCTCACCTACTCAGGAGGCTGAGGCAGGAGAATTGCTTAAACCCAGGAGGCAGAGGTTGCAGTGAGCTGAGATCGCACCACTGCACTCCAGCCTGGGCGACAGAGGAAAACTCTGTCTCAAAAAAAAAAAAAAGCAGAGGGCCATCATACTTTATAATTTCAAACTATATTTCAAGACTCTAGTAATAAAAACAGGATGCAATGTGCAGAAAAATTTAAAAACCAATGGAACAGAAACCACTACTCACACACATTTCAGACATGATGCAGCGAGAGAACTTACAAATGGTTGAACTAGAGTTTCTCAAAATATGCAGATATTTGTGTGTCCCGAAAAACAATGGAAAAGGAGTCAGATTGTGCAGTCTCTTATATGCCATGAGGAGGTCTTTGGCTGTTATTGTAAGCTTGAAGGAAGATCACCAAAGGGAAAGTATAATTATTAAAGAATTTAGAAGGATAAGACATGGCTCACCCCTGTAATCCCAGCACTTTGGGAGGCTGAGGCGGGTAGGTTATCTGAGGTGAGGAGTTCGAGATCAGCCTGGCTAACATGGTGAAGTCCCGTCTCTATTAAAAACAAAAAATTAGCTGAGCATGGTAGCAGGCACCTGTAATCCCAGCTACTTGGGAGGCTGAGGCAGAAGAATTGCTTGAACCCAGGAAGCAGACAGAGGTTGCAGCTGAGATTGCGCCATTGCACTCCAGCCTGGGTGACAGAGTGAAACTCTGTCAAAAATAAAATAATAATAAAGCATAAGAGAGAAGATGTCCCCATGTTGAAGAAACAAAAACAAAAACAACCCAACTGTCCAGAAACTATTTTCTTTGGAACACAGCTTCCCAAGTCACATTTTAAGGACTGACTTTATCTTTCACCATAGGACGTCTTAGCTGTGTCATGTGTGGAATTCACTCTTACTTACCTTGAGGTTTGGCTACCATCCTATATCTCTTCATATTCCAGGGTTCTTTTCCTTTCTCCAGACACGTGATTAGGTCTACATTAGACACTGCAACACCTGTTTTTTTAAATAAATAAATAACATGAATCTTGCTCATATTGTCCAGTTATTGACTTAGTAATTTTCTCAGTAAAGAAGATGTAATAGAATATCCTAGCAAATTAATCTTAGAATACTAATTCATAACAGAAATTTTTAAATATTTAGACTTTTTTTTTTGAGACAAAGTTTTGCTCTTGTCGCCCAGGCTGGAGTGCAATGGCGTGATCTCAGCTCATCAAAACTTCCATGTCCTGGATTCAAGCTATTCTGCATCAGCCTCTCAAGTAACTGAAGTTATAGACACGTGCCATCACGCCCAGGTAATTTTGTATTTTTAGTAGAGACGGGGTTTCTCCATGTCGGTCAGGCTAGTCTTGAACTCCCAACCTCAGGTGATCTGCCTGGCTCAACCTCCCAAAGTGCTGGGATTATAGGCATGAGCCACCAAACCTGGCCTGAAATATTTTTAATGTGTAGATTCTTAATTTTACTACCCGGTGCTACTGAATCAAAAATTGGTGTTGGCAATTAGATTTTAAGGTGTGGGCAACAATGTTTTATGCCACTAAATTTCTGGAACTACCATTAATCTAGAGTGAAGGACATAGATCAGCTCAGAAATGTGGGAAGTTCAGGTCAAGATAAAACATCTACATGAGGTTCCGCTTCCCCTTGTCATAGGCTCCCTCCCTTCCCCTCCCTGGTGGTCACAGGGCTCCCCACAGCTGGGCCTAGCAGTAGCAGCAACTGCTCCCACGGGTGTCTCTTCCTGCCCTGCCCTGCTTCCCCTTCCCTCCTCTCCCCTCCTTGCACCTGGCGCTGGCCTAGAATGGCTCCTAGAATGGCTCCGCAAGGCACCCCCGCCCCAAGCTCCAACCAAGGTGCCTCACTGGGGTGGAGACCTTGGCTCACCTATGGCTATTTCACAATTCTGAATTGTGTCTGATAACGGAGAAATGGAAGACAAGCCTCCAGCACCTCCTGTGGGAATGAGCAGTACCATTTTTAGCACTGGAGGCAAAGATCCTTTGTCAGCCAATCATAGTTTGAAACCTTTGCCCTCTGTTCCAGAGGAGAAAAAGCCCAGGAATAAAATCATCTCCATATTCTCAGGCAAAGAAACAGAAGTAAAAAGAAAGAAAAGGAATGGCCAGACATTTCTCCTCCATCTGATTTTGAACACACTATCCATGTTGGCTTTGATGCTGTTACAGGAGAATTCACTGGCATGCCAGAACAGTGGGCTTGATTACTACAGACCTCCAATATCACCAAACTAGAGCAAAAGAAGAATCCTCAGGCTGTGCTGGATGTCTCAAAGTTCTACGGCTCCAACACAGTGAAGCAGCAAAAATATCTGAGCTTTACTCCTCCTGAGAAAAATGGCTTCCCTTCTGCAACACCACCACTGAATGCCAAGGGACCAGAAACATCAGCAGTAGTGACAGAGGAAGATGATGATGATGATGAAGAAACCGCTCCTCCTGTTACTGCCCCAGGACCAGATCATACAAAATCAATTTACACATGGTCTGTAATTGACCGTTTCTGCACCAGTTGGTGATTCAAACGTTGATGGTGGTGCCAGGTCTTCAGACAAACAGAAAAAGAAGACTAAGATGACAGATGAAGAGATTATGGAGAAATTCAGAACTACTTTGAGCATAGGTGACCCTAAGAAACAATACACAAGATATGCAAAAATTGGTCAAGGGACTTCTGGTACATTTTCACTGCTACTGATGCATTGGGAGAGGAGGTTGCATCAAACAGATTTACAGAAACAGCCAAAGAAGGAATTGATCATTAACGATATTCTGGTGATGAAAGAATTAAAAAATCCCAACATATTTAACTTCTTGGACAATTACCTGGTAGGAGATTAATTGTTTGTGGTAATGGGAGTAACTTGCTGGTGGATCACTTACTGTCGTTGTATCAGAAACCTGTATGGATGAAGCACAGATTGCTGCTGTATGCAGAGAGTGTTTCAGGCACTGGGGTTTTTACATGCTAATCAAGTGATCCACAGAGACATCAAAAGTGACAATGTACTTTTGGGAATGGAAGGATCAGTTGCTTACTGACTTTGGTTTCTGTGCCCAGATGACCCCAGAGCAAAGCAATGGCAGTACCATGGTCAGAACACTATACTGGATAGAACCAGAGGTGGTTACGCAGAAAGCTTATGGCCGTAATGTTGACATATGGTCTCTGGGTATCATGGCTATTAAGATGGTAGACGGAGAGCCTCCATACCTTAGAGAAAATCTCTTGAGGACCTTTTACCTAATAGCAACTAATGGAATCCCAGAACTTCAGAATCCAGAGAAACTTTCCCCAATATTCCAGGACTTCTTAAATCAATGTTTGGAAATGGATGTGGAAAAAAGGGGTTCAGCCAAAGAATTATTACGGCCGCCTTTCCTGAAACTGGCCAAACCACTATCTAGCTTGACACCACATCATGGCAGCTCAAGAAGCAATGAAGAGTAACTGTCAACATCACTGCTGTGGCCTCATATTCTTTTTCCCACTTTCTAAAAAAAGTATTTTCGTATATGAAAATTATTACTTTTGGGGGTTTAAAGAAATGGTCTGCATAACCTGGATGAAAGAAGGAAATGACTATTCTCTGAAGACAACAAAGAGAAAATTGCAAAAATGAAATTATGATTTTCATATGAACCCCTTCTTGAGGGTCCAAAAGGAACTGTGGACTGAATCACCAGCCTTAGGTCTTTCAGCAAACAGCCTAACAGAGCCATTTATCAAGACTGAGATTTGCATTTTACTTTCCAGACTTTAATGTACTAGATCCCATTAATTGTCCCCTTGGGGGTATTTCCAATACTTGAATGGCAGATTTGAGTTTTTCAGAGTATGTTTCATCTGAGTCTTTCTCTCCTTCATAGCTTTCCTTTCCTTACTTCCACCTTTTAAGTTGCTGTTGAGTTTCTCATGCCTAGGCAAGTGTAACAGAAATTACGTAGCTCCTTATGCTGGCAAAGGAGCTCTATATAGTTTCACTTTGTACAAAAGTTAGGACTAGCTGTTGTTACATGTAATATTTTAGTTCAGAACTTGACCTGAAGGAAGGGAAGAAAAGTATGTGACTTTTACCTTTTTTAACAAATGTGAAAAAGTCATTTTAGTAATTTTGTGGTCATAAGTTTGGCATTTGTTACATGTATAGAGAGAAGACTAGTAATCTATATTTATAACTAAATCATTGAGATAAAAAAAGATTCCAATTGACTACAGAAATCTTCCAATTTGGTCTTCCCTTCTGCCTGTTTTCTCTTCAGGTTTGGCTCTAGGAACCAAAGTGATTTGTTCTTGTTCCAACCTGGCTTTATGACTTTGGTTAGTGCCACTACCTTCCTCTTCTCTCCTTTTTTTCCCCTTCATTTTGGAAATAAGTTTCTGTATATGTTGCAATTTTAGATTTAGGTATGTTTTTTTTTTTCATTAACCCTCTCTCACCTCACACATACCTCCCTCCTGTGGCAAATAATATAATAACCAGTGAATTTTCAGAATTTAAAACTAGCTTTTTTTTTTTTTTTCATTTAAAGGAGAAAAACATTTGGAACTAGCAGAGGCAGAGTGTGAGACATGAACCTTGTCGAGCTCTGATATAGTGAGACCAGATTATATTCATGAAAGAGAAATGTTAGCGTGTTATAGAGAAGCAGCTGATAACCAATCAACCGCAGACACTTGTTGGAAGTCTCATTGTCCAAGGTCATTACCAGTGCTTTATTATCTATGAGAACTTAAGTGACAGAGTATTTCTTGGTGAATTTATAGATCATTTGAGATGTTGAGTTACTTTAGTGTTTTTTTTTTTCAAATAAGCAGAGGATATTAATGTAAAAAACTGGAGAAAGAAAAATGACATGTGTGTTGATAGCAATAATTTTTTCGTTTAAAGATTCTAAAAGGTCTGAGACCTGTAGCATTAATTATTTGAGTGCCCTCTCTTTTCTCCTCCCTTCCCATCCCCTCTCTTTCTCTTCTCTTTCTTCCTCTCCTTCTCTCCTTTATTCATTGTTTTGCTTTTAGAGTAGGTATTGTTCACTTATCTGTGTTTTGGTTCTGGCATTTGTTCCCACCATCCCCTTCCCCTCAATAACTTCACCCCTGCTTGCCGCCCTGCAGTAGTACAAATCATGAATAAAAATAATTTTGCTGTTGTAGTGTACATTGGGGAAACTAGCAGGGTTTTATTTCCATTATTTTATTCCCACTATATCTATGTTAAGATATAATTATAAGGAGAGATGTGACTGTTTTGTATTGATAAAGCAGGAAAGTTTTCAGAAAAATGAGTAGATTAATGAAAGAAAAAAAAAAATCTACATGAACAAATCCCAGATTTTCCTAAAAACAGGGATCTGAAACATAAAGCATAGATTGCCAGAAAACGTTATACAACAAATAGAAATGAAACATTTAGGACATATTAGGAATTGTGTTTTGAAGTTATCCTTACCCAGGAAAACCAGGTTTCTGTAGTTCTCAACATCACATTTCTATATAAATTCTTCTGTGCTGTGTTCAGGCATTGCCACTCCTCCAGAGAGAATTCTATGGCCACATCCATAAACGTCAATGGTCTCTGAAAAACATATACACATTTACCAAGTGACCATGAAGAAGAGAATTAAATAATATCAAAAATAGTAAAACAAAACCTTATAATTTATAGTTGCTATATAATAAAGTAAATTTTGGTGTGTTGTGTACTGTTTAATATAAAACCTAACCCCCAGCTCTGCTTAAAATTAACTCCCTGTAAAACCTATCTTATCTATTCTCCCACATTCTCAGCAAAGTTCCCAGGCATCTCAGGACTCCCGTTTCTCCGGCTAACCAGCTGCAAGGTCACAGGGCAAGATAACACCCGAAGAATGTACAACGCATTTATCAAAAAGCTATTTTTTAAATGTAACGCACATCACAAGACATGTTGCAAATTAATTGTTCTTTGTTCTCACTTCTGTAAACGTGTTAGCTGCTATGTAATCCTGGATGTATAAAAGTACCCCATTCTCTTCTTTCAGGGCTCACACTTAGAATGCTAATCCTCTGAGCTGGTGGCCACCTTAATAAAATCCTGTTTCACCCATTAGTCTCTCCAGTCTCTTGGATATTCTGTAAAAACCATGGGCAGAATTTTCAATTTGACTCAAGGTGAAATGAGACACTAAAGAGAATTGTTATAACTTACAGGAGTAACTAAAATTATCTAATTAAATATTTTTTAACACAGAAATATTATCTAATATATTCTCTATGAGAAAAAAAAGTGACATAAGACTTACATCAGTGAATATATGTTACGAGCATGAACGCAAAATTATTTTGTTTTTTGAGACAAAGTTTCTCTATTGTTGCTCAGGCTGGAGTGCAATGGCGTGATCTTGGCCCACTGCAACCTCTGCATCCTGGGTTCAAGCAATTCTCCTGCTCAGCCTCTGGAGTAGCTAGGATTACAGGTACATGCCACCACGCCCAGGTAATTTTTTGTAGTGACAGGGTTTCTCCATGTTGGTCAGGCTGGTCTCGAACTCCCGAACTCAGGTGATGTGCCCACCTCGTCCTCTCCCAAGTGCTGGGATTACAGGCGTGAGCCACTGTGCCCCACCCAAATACGTACTTTTTTTTTTTTTTTTTTTGAGACGGAGTTTCGCTGTTGTTGCCCAGGCTGGAGTGCAATGGCGTGACCTCAGCTCACCGCAACCTCCACCTCCTGGGTTCAGGCAATTCTCCTGCCTCAGCCTCCTGAGTAGGTGGGATTACAGGCACACACCACCATGCCCAGCTAATTTTTTGTATTTTTAGTAGAGACAGGGTTTCACCATGTTGACCAGGATGGTCTCCATCTGTTGACCTCGTGATCCACCCGCCTCAGCCTCCTAAAGTGCTGGGATTACAGGCATGAGCCACTGCGTCCCACCCAAATATGTATATTTTTTACTGCTATATTTACATCCTACAAACTGAGTTGTGTACATTTTTCAGATGGAAAAAAAGTGTTGAGTTAGAAGATGCCTCTCACATTTTAATGGGTACAACAAACTGCAGATCTTGTTAATGCCGATTATTTTTTCAGAAGATCTGGAATAAAGTTTGAGTTTCTGAATTTCTAATAAGACGATCAGTAATGTCAATGTTCTGACCCAAGAAGAGTATTTAGTCAAACATCCAGTAAGCAGAAGCACCTGTGTTTTTCCCAGTTTATCTGGCCTGTAAACAAAGATGAGTGGTTTCATTTTCTAAAGGCAGGTATGTGCAAAGAAAACCAAAAAAAGAAGGGCAGCCACCAGATTAAATGTGATAATGTATACACCACATTAGCTACATAAAGATACTTAATAATGAAGAGAAAAATAATTAACTCAATAGTGAAATACATCTGTCAGGGAGCTCTTTAACCAAGTGAATCGTTAACATCAACTGCACTAGAACAGATTTATAGAAAGTGCTGATGCACACAGAAGAACACAGTATCACTGCTAGAATATCTTCCCCCAAAAGTACAGGCTGAATTTAACCACGAAGAAACATCAGTTCTATGTAAAGTTCAAGATGGAGGAGCTATCTCTCTTGTTCTGTAATTTTTCATAGTGATTTTACGTAGTATCTCTTTAGCACCCTAGAAAGCAGGTATTTCCCAGTAATTCTTTTTCAGAACTTTCCGGGTAATAAATGCCATCCTGTTCAAATAAGCATTTTAAAATTTTGTTCTTTATATAGCTAACGGAGAACACAGAGGGAACCTCAACATTACAAGTCCTCCATCTTTACTAAGGACTTCCCAGCTCTTCCCTAATAAAGATCTTGAGAGGGCCAGGCCCCGTGGCTCACACCTGTAATCCCAGCACTTTGGGAGGCTGAGGTGGGCGGATCACAAAGTCAAGAGATCGAGACCATCCTGGCCAACTTGGTGAAACCCCGTCTCTACTGAAAAAATACAAAAATTAGCTGGGTGTGGTGGCATGTGCCTGTAGTCCCAGCTACTCGGGAGGCTGAGGTAGGAGAATTGCTTGAACCCAGGAGGCGGAGATTGCAGCGAGCCAAGATTGCGCCACTGTACTTCAGCCTGGTGACACAGCAAGACTCTGTCTCAAAAAAAAAAAAAAAAAATCGAGAATCCACTCTTTCTCATGTTCAATATCCATATCCACAACTCACTGCAACCTCCGCCTCCCAGGTTCAAGCCATTCTCCTGCCTCAGCCTCCTGAGTAGCTGGGATTACAGGCATGCACCATCACACCTGGCTAATTTTTATATTTTTAGTAGAGACATGGTTTCACCATCCTGGCCAGGCTGGTCTCAAACTCCTGGCCTTGTGATCCACCCGCCTTGGCCTCCCAAAATGCTGGGATTACAGGCATGTTCCACCATGCCTGGCCTAATTTTTAACAAAAATTTCTTTTCTTTGAGAGGGAGTCTTGCTCTGTTGCCCAGGATGGAGTGCAGTGGTGCGATCTAGACTCACTGCAACCTCCGCCTCCCAGATTCAAGCCATTATCCTGCCTCAGCCTCCTGAGTAGCTGGGATTACAGGCATGCACCATCACGCCTGGCTAATTTTTCTATTTTTAGTAGAGACGGGGTTTTGCCATGTTGGTCAGGCTGGTCTTGAACTCCTGATGTCAGATGATCTGCCTGCCTCGGCCTCCCAGAGTGGTGGGATTATAGGAGTGAGCCACCATGCCTGGCCTTTAACAAACATTTCCAAATATTTAGAAAATATCTTATTTTGTAACTTCTTAATTTCACTACCTGATAATACTGAATCAAAAATTAGGTTGGCCATTAGATTTTAAGTTGTGGGAAATAATATTTTATGACACTTTATTTCTGGAATTATCACTAATCCAGAGTGAAAGACACAGATTAGCTCAGAAATGTGAAAAGTTCAGGTCAAGATGAAACATCTTGAAAAAATTTCTTTAGTCCACCAAAAAAATCTCCAAGATTTCTGAAAACAGGAAATCTGAAATTCATCAATGCAATGCACAAATTACCAAAACACATTCTACAAAAAAGAAAAATGAAATCTTTAGGGTATATTAGGAATTGTATATTGAAGTTATGCTCACCCAGGAAGACCAGGTTTCTGTAGTTCTCTAACATCACATTCCTATATAAATTCTGCTGTGCAGTGTCCAGGCATTGCCACTCCTCCAGACAGAATTCTATGGCCACATCCATAAATGTCAATGTCCCTAGAAAATACACATACGCACACACACATTTATCAAGTGGCCATGGGAGAATTTATAATTTGACTCAAGGTAAAATGAGAGAGTAAAGAGAAGAGGTTCTGACTTATAGACAAATTATCCAATAAAATAATTCTTTATGTGGAAATATTCTCTATTTTTTTTTTTTTTTTTAGATGGAGTTTCGCTCTTGTTGCGCAAGCTGGAGTGCAATGGCACGATCTTGGCTCACCACAACCTCCACCTCCTGGATTCAATCGATTCTCCTGCCTCAGCTTCCCAGTAGCTGGGATTACAGGCATGCACCACCACACCCGGCTAATTTTGTATTTTTTAGTAGAGACAGGGTTTCTCCATGTTGGTCAGGCTGGTCTCCAACTCCCAACCTCAGGTGATCCACTTAACTCGGCCTCCCAAAGTGTTGGGATTATAGGCATGAGGCACCATGTCCAGCCCTCTAATGTATTTTCTACTCCCGAGAAAAGAAAGTGGCATAAGTTCTACAACAGTGTACATATTGTACTCTTCCATAATATTTTTCTGGATAATAACTATAAAATTAAGGGCATAAATAAATGTGAATTTTTGAGTTCTCTATTTGGATCATACAGAATGAGTTGCATATATTTTTCAGATAAATCCAGTAAGTGGAAAATTCTGTGTTTTTTCTAGTTTTTCTGACCTGTAAACAAAGAGCTTTCATTTTCAAAGGACAGATGAATGCAAAGAAAACCTAAGAAGAGCTGTTGCGAGATTAAATGTGATGATTTACATACATTAGATGCATAAATTTTTTTTTTAAGTTTTAACAGATGTATTTCAAATACAGCATGTTTTACAGGAGTCCACAAGCTTTTCATCTCTTAAAAAAAAAAAGACTTAATTTTTAGGGTTCAAAAATCCCGTTCTTCAAAAGATGTATCCAAGTGTTTTCTTCTATAGCTTCAAACTTTCTACACTCAACTACCTGACTGTTCCATGCCACCCCAGACAAACCTGACGTGAATGAATTACTTCATGTGTTACTATATTCCCCAAAAAAGTTAAAAAATGAGCTACTCATAAATGCAGATCTCTAATACAATATCTAACACAAAAGAAGCTATAAAAACACAATTTTTTCCTTATTTGATTAGCCAGAAGTTTATCTCAGCAAAAGCAAAAAATAATAATAATAATAATAAAAATACAAAGGGTAACACTGGGGTTCCTGTTATACTCAAGACATTTAACTACTCAAAATGACAATTACATCTTTAGGAGTATAATAAAAAGGGTGGAAAACAGCAACACAATTGACAAAAGTGTAGATGCTAAATAAACCAAAGCTTTTTTTTTCTTAACGAGTAGGAAGAATCCGAAGCTTGGGGAAATCTCAGAATTTAAAAAAAAAAGAGGAAAAATGTCCTTAATTGCAACCATTCCGTTTTCAGTAGCGTCTTGGGCTGTAGGAACGAGATCGTGATCGTGATCTGTATCGACTTTAATAAGGAGAAGGTGATCGTCTTCTGTACCGGTAATCATAGTCTTCATATCTGTCATACCCACGATCATAACCTCTATCATAGTAAGAATCTCGACGTCTGCCACCACCTCCACCTCCACCGCCGCCGCCTCCTCCACCACCACCACCATGGGTTGGTCTGCCCATGTAGATGTCTGGTGTAGGTGTGTGCGCTCTCTTGGTGATAGAATAATCCACTCGAATTCTTCTACCATCCAGCTCCATTCCATTTGCTCTTTCCATAGCCTCCTTTGAGTCATCTATTCGCTCAAAATATACAAAAGCAAATCCTCGAGATCGCCCCGTTCGCTGATCATAAACCACATTGACACCACTCAATGGTCCATATCGAGAAAATACTTCACGAAGATCTCTCTCTGTTATGTACAAACTGAGGCCAAACACTCCAAGGCAAGTGTTGGGATCTGGGTTTGCCCTGCTGCCAGTATGTCTTCTCCGGTTAGACACTGGAGAATGGCTTCGGCTCCTTCGCCGCCGGTATTCTGGTGTATATGATCTACTTCGAGATCGTCTCCTATGAGAGTGAGAGTGGGATCTGGATCGAGTATAACGTCTATGAGAATGTCTCCTTGACCTTGACCTGGATTTTGATCTTGATCGAGAATGGGATTCAGAGTGTTTGGAAACCCTTGATGGACTACGAGATCCTGACCTGCTCTCCAATTTTACACGAGCAGGAGTTCCCGTTGGAGATTTTGACTGAGAGCGAGACTCTCTGCCCTCGAAGTTGTTCTCCTCTACATCACTCATGTCGACCAGACGCTCCCCAGAACTAAGAAAGAGACAAGTCTCGGCTCGAGGGCCGATGGCCTACTTAACCCGCTGACTCGACCGCAGGAAAGAGGAAAGAGTCGGCAACAACGGCCGCTCTACTCCACTCCCACTGGGTCACAGGCTCCAGCAAAATGGCCTAAAGATTCTTAATAATACGGCCAGGTGTGGTGGCTCATGCCTGTAATCCCAGCACTTTGGGAGGCTGAGGCAGGTGGATCACCTGAGATCAGGAATTTGAGACCAGTCTGGCCAACATGGAGAAACCCCATCTCTACTAAAAATACAAAAATTAGCCGGGCATGGTGGCACATCCCTGAAGTCCCAGGAGGGACTTGGGAGGCTGAGGCAGGAGAACCATTTGATCCCAGGAGGCAGAGGTTGCAGTAAGCTATGATCATGCCATTGCATTCCAGCCTGCGTGACAGAGACTCTATCTCAGAAAAAAAAAAAGTTCTTAATAATAAAAAGAAATATAACTAATTAACTAACTATATAGGGAAACAGTCTGTCAGAGAGCCCTTTAATCGAGTGAATAATTAACATAAACTGCACAAGAACAAATGTTTTTTTTGAGATGGAGTCTTGCTCTGTTGCCCAGTCTGGAGTGCAGTGGCGCATCTCAGTTAGCTGCAACCTCCACCTCCCATGTTCAAGTGATTCTCCTGCTTCAGTCTCCCAAGTAGCTGGGACTACAGGAGCCCACCACCACGCCCATCTAATTTTTTGCGTTTTCAGTAGAGATGGAGTTTCATGATTTTAGCCAGGATGGTCTCAATCTCCTCACCTTGTGATCCGCCCACTTTAGCCTCCCGAAATGCTGAGACCATAGGTGTGAGCCATTGTGCCTGGACTAGAGCAAATTTTTTAAATGTGCTGATGCATGCAGAAAGACACAGCATCACTCCTGTGATAATGCCCCCAAAAAGTAAATTATAATCTAAATTTAACCACAAGGAAATATCAGTTTTATGCAAAGTTCAAGATAAAGATATCTCTCATGTTCTGTCATTTTTTCTTTTCCTTTGAGATGGAGTTTCCCTCTTGTTGCCCAGGCTGGTGTGGAATGACGTGGATCTTGGCTCACTGCAACCTCTGCCTCCTGGGTTCAAGCAATTCTCCTGCTTCAGCCTCCCAAGTAACTGGGATTACAGGCATGTGCCACCACACCTGGCTAATATTTTTGTATTTTTAGTAGAGATGGAGTTTCACCATGTTGGTCAGGCTGGTCTCAAACTCCTGACCTCCAGTGATCCGCCCACCTTGGCCCCCCAAGTGCTGGGATAACAGGTGTGAGCCACTGCACCCACCTATAAGTTTTAATAGTAATTTTTAGCAGTCTATCTTTAGCACCCTAGATAGCAGATATAACCTGATAATGTTTTTCAGAACTTTCTGGTTTATAAATGCCTTCTTGTTTAAATAAGCATCTTTTGAATCCTGTTCTGCATTGAGCAAATAAAAAACACAGTCCTCCATCTTTAGTAAGAACTCCAGCTTCTCCCCAATAGCAATCTTGAGTATTTACACCTTTTCATGTTCAACAGCCACAAAAGGATCATTTTTAATATTGCAGTTTATAAATTCATGGTGAGTATTCTGCATGGCATACAAGCCCTGATGTAGAGAATGTAGAGAAGCCTTATAGAAAAGAAATATTTGGCAGAGATCCTTGACTATCATAAAAATTTAGAAAGCAGTTAAACTCACTGGGGAGAAAAACCACGAGTAGAGAAGTAAAGGTTTGCAGTACTAAACACACGGCACTCCAGGAAGCAGAGTGGACACAGCTCTTGATCTGAGACATGTTTAGTTGAAAAAAAAAAAAAAGCCATTTTTTTTCTCTATCTCCTTCTCTGGGAATCTTTCCCAGATGAGAATTTTCTGGACAAACTACACTTGCATCTTGTGAATATGGCTTTCAAGCTGTCAGCACCACATGTTTACCTGCTACCACCACACTCATAGGCAGAAGGACCAAGACCTGCAGAAAAAGTTCACCTATTTTTGTCCTTTATAACAGAACAGATTTAGTAAGAATGAAGTGTTCCATGCAGACACTAGTATGAGTTTCACCCTTCCTATTCTCAGGAGCCCTCCTCTGCCATGGACACCAGCAATTTTTGCTACAGTAATGGAAATATAGGCCACACTGTCCTGTCCCTACCAAACCCAAACAGAATAGGCCCTGTAACCACCCTTTAGCGCAAAGGTCAAACTTAACTCTCGTAAATGTATCCTGAATCCTTTATACTTGATTCTAGCCTCATTTTAGAGTCATAGGAGGCACTTAATTAAAACAATATGGACTGGGCTTGGTGGCTCACGCCTGTAATCCCAGCACTCTGGGAGGCCGAGGTTGGGAGTTTGACAACAGCCTGGCCAGTATCATGAAATCCCGTCTCTATTAAAAATACAAAAATTAGCTGGTCATGGTGGCGGGTACTAGTAATCCCAGCTACTCAGGAGGCTGAGGCAGGAGAATCACTTGAATCCAGAAGGTGGAGGTTCAAGTGAGCCAAGACTGCACCACTAGCCTGGGTGACAAAGCAAGACTCTGTCTCAAAAAAAAAAAAAAGGCCAGGTACAGTGGCTCACGCCTGTAATCCCAGAACTGTAAAAGGCCAAGTGGGAAGATAATGAGGTTAGGAGATCAAGACCATCCTGGCTAACGCGGTGAAATCCTGTCTCTTAACAAAAAAAAATTAAATTTAAGAAAAAAACAAAAAACATGCATGCTTCCACCTAGAACAATAAACAGAACCTGAGCCAAACTACAAACACAACAATAAACCTAAATAAGGCGTCCAAAAGGGGTGAATCTGAACAAAACAAAAGCAGAGAGAGCAACCTATGTAGAATTCTGTCCTCTATACCACTGGGGTATTTCCTGTTTTGTTTTTCCTAAGCTTACCTACGACAAACTTAAATTCCAGAGTTTGCACAATTTTTAATCGTTTTTAGCCACTGCTCTGTCAATTTTATAACATATACAAATAAGCAATTTAAACAAATCCCTTAAAGTTTTCTAGGGTAATGTTATTATAAGATAAATATGTATTCTAACAAGGTAAGATAAACCAACAATATAAACTCTTCTTTTTTTTATTTGAGACAGAGTCTCACTTTGTTGCCAGGTGCCAGGCTGGAGTATAGTGGCATAACCTCGGCTCACTACAACCTCCAACTCCCGGGTTCAAGCAATCCTCCTGCCTTAGCCTCCCAAGTAGCTGGGACTACAGGCGCACGCCATCATGCCCAGCTATTTTTTATATTTTTAGTAGAGATGAGGTTTAACCATGTTGGCCAGGATGGTCTCAATCTCCTGACCTTGTGATCTGCCCACCTCGGCCTCCCAAAGTGCTGGGATTACAGGCTTGAGCCACCGCACGTGGCCCAACTCTTCTTTCAGTAAACATTTCTTCAGCTAATGATATCAGAAGTCACAACAATATAAAGTGGCCCAAATAAAGCCCAAGTATTTTTGCACACATCTCCTCACTGTACCAACCACATGATGCTAAATTCAACCATTGTATCCAGTTGCTAGTCTAGACTAAAAACTCCTGGATGGTAGGGACCATGACTGCTGCATCTATTTTTTAAATGGCCATAAGAAATGGTAGAAACTAGTTTATCTGTTTGAGTCTCCATCCTCCTCTTTGGTTTTCACCCAAGTACAAGGAAACTGGAAAAACGTCTCATCTGGCTACCAACCAAAGACATCTCTTATATTAGAGAAACAAAAACAGAATGACTCATTTATCTTAGACTAAGAGAGCGAATTAACTACTCTTGACAACCTGACACAATTCTGTTCTGACTTGAAAATGTCTCAAAGATGTCTAGTTGGGGCTGGGTGCGGTGGCTCAAGCCTGTAATCCCAGCACTTTGGGAGGCCGAGGCGGGTGGATCACAAGGTCAAGAGATCGAGACCATCCTGGTCAACATGGTGAAACCCCGTCTCTACTAAAAATACAAAAAAAATTAGCTGGGCGTTGTGGCGCGCGCCTGTAATCCCAGCTACTCGGGAGGCTGAGGCAGGAGAATTGCCTGAACCCAGGAGGCGAAGGTTGCGGTGAGCCAAGATCGCGCCATTGCACTCCAGCCTGGGTAACAAGAGCGAAACTCCGTCTCAAAAAAAAAAAAAAAAAGATGTCTAGTTGATTATGATAGGGTTCCCAGTAACCTAGAGCTGGTTGCCCAATAAGTCAAGCAAGAGAAAAACAGGCTGATTTTTGTTTTTTTCTTTTTTCTTGAGACAGTTTAACTCTTGCTGCCCAGGCTGAAGTGCAATGGCACAATCTCAGCTCACTGCAACCTCCACCTCCCAGGTTCAAGTGATTCTCCTGCATCAGCCTCCCAAACAGCTGGGATTATAGGCATGTGCCACCATGCCTGGCTAAATTTTTTTTGTATTTAGTAGAGATGGGTTTTTTTTTTTTTTTGAGACGGAGTTCCGCTCTTGTTACCCAGGCTGGAGTGCAATGGCGCGATCTCGGCTCACCGCAACCTCCGCCTCCTGGGTTCAGGCAATTCTCCTGCCTCAGCCTCCCGAGTAGCTGGGATTAAAGGCACACACCACCATGCCCAGCTAATTTTTTGTATTTTTAGTAGAGATGCGGTTTCACAATGTTGACCAGGATGGTCTCGATCTCTTGACCTCGTGATCCACCTGCCTAGGCCTCCCAAAGTGCTGGAATTACAGGCGTGAGCCACCACGCCCGGCCTGGGATGGGGTTTTATCATGTTGGTCGGGCTGGTCTCGAACTCCTGACCTCAGGTGATCCACCCACTTTGGCCTCCCAAAGTGCTAGGATTACAGGCGTGAGTAACTTGACCTGGTCTCAGGCTGATTTCAAATAGAAAATAGAACTGTCCTGGTAGAGCTCCAGAACCTACATCACATGTCCTGATTAGCTAGCTCTTTGGTATGAAAAAAGACAAAAGGCCCAGCATGGTGGCTCATCCCAGCACTTTGGGAGGCTGAGGGGGACTGATCACTTAAGGTCAGGAGTTCAAAACCACCCTGGCGAACACGGTAAAACCTTGTCTCTACTAAAAATACAAAAAATTAGCCGGGTGTGGTGGGCCTGTAATCCCAGCCACTGGGGAGGCTGAGGCAAGAGAACTGCTTGAACCCAGGAGGCAGAGGTTGCAGTGAGCTGAGATGGAGCCATTGCACTTCAGCCTGGGTGACAGAGCAAGACTCAGTCTCGAAACAAAAACAAAAAGTAGTCTACTCCAGTATCACAGTTTATGGGTAGGTATAGTTGTAGTCACAGCTCTGGACATTTTGTGGCCTTAATCTCTCATTCCTAAGATGCTTGTTCACACTTACAGATTCTGCCATCAGATTCTATTTATACCTGGAGACTCTCACATAAGTGTAGCAAAATCTGAAAAGTCCAAAAAGCCACACTCTCAAAGGGGTCTTTAAGATGTCTATGTTGCTCAAGGAGTTCAAGACTAGCCTGGCTAGTCTTGAAAATGCCTCTTGTTGATTTTCTGTACATTCTGAATCCAAAACCTGGCCCCATCTTGTGAATCCCAGGCAGGGGCCAAACTCTGTGTGCAGATTCTATGTTGGATCAATCTGGCTCTGCATTTTTAGGTGTTAAAGCAAGCAGAGTAAAATCAAAAGAGAGATCCCCTCAGAGGATGCTATAACACATTTTCTTTCTTTCTTTCTTTTTTTTTTTTTTTTTGAGATGGAGTATTGCACTGTTGCCTGGGCTGGAGTGCAACGGCGGGATCTTGGCTTATTGCAACCTCCATCCGCCTCCCGGGTTCAAGTGATTCTCCCATCTCAGCCTCCTGAGTTGCTGGGATTACAGATGCCTGCCACGATACCCTGATAATTTTTTGTACTTTTAGCAGAAACAGGGTTTCAATATGTTCGCCAGGCTGGTCTTGAACTCTGACCTTGTGATGTGCCTGTCTCGGCCTTACAGAGTGCTGGGATTACAGGCGTGAGTCATCACGCCTGGCCTATAGCACATTTTTAATAATATATCTACCTAAAAGAAAAAAGCTGAGGCAACATGAATATAAGTAGATCATTTATTTGGTCCAACCTTGAGGATTATAATCTGAAAGCAATGATTCAAGTTGTCTGGAATCTAAACTTTAGCAGCAGTTACAAGTAGATCTGTAAAGGCAAAAAAGAGGGGCAGACAGTGGACAGGTACAAAGAAGTTTGTCAGGTTCACTTAGGCCAGGCGCAGTGGTTCATGCCTGCAATTCGGCACTTTGGGAAGCCAAGGCAGGTTGATCACCTGAGGTCAGGAGTTCAAGACCAGTCTGGCCAACGTGTTGAAATCCCGTCTCTACTAAAAATACAAAAAATTAGCCAGGCATGGTGACACATGCCTGTAATCCCAGCTACTCCAGAGGCTGAGGCAGGAGAATTGCTTGAACCCAGGAGATGGAGGTTTCAGTAAGCCTAGATTGCACCATTGCACTCCACCCTGGGAAATAAGAGCGAAACTCTGTCTTAAACACAAACAAAAAACCCAAAGTTGTTTGTCGGAAAGTCTTACTTAAAAAATGACATTGATTATTGATTAGATATGCATTGTTAAGGTTTAAGTTATGGGTTATAGTGTCCAGTGTGGCATTATTAGTTTCATTTATAGCTACCTGTGGAAATACCAAATAGTTTCAACAGATTAATACATAATTCAAAGGGAGGAGAAAGAATTGTGCTCTCATTTTAATGTTTCCCTGAGTTTGACAAATAAAAGGACTTCCATTTCTCATAGTAAAGTTTATTTCTCAAATCTCAAAAGCTAGAATCAGAATTTGGAGTTGCAGATTTAGTGGAATGAAATCTAGTGGAGTAGCAGTAGGTTTTACTTGCACATTTTTGGGCATTTTTAGCAAGAGGAAGAAAGGGAAAGTAGAGATTCTCACGTCTCCATGTCTACTCAATGCACATGTTACTCTGACTGGGTTTCTGGGCCCCATGTTCTGTGAATTACTTTCAGGTCTGAGGATAAAAAAAGTCACTAAAAGAGGTAAAATGGTTGATTGCTTCCCTGTGAAGTTTGTAGAAATCTTGTCTATCCCTCCCTAGAAGTGACTATAGATAATTACATATACCAAATAGGCTAAGAAACAATTCCAACTGCATATTTAGGTGACAACATGCACTTTACAGCATGTTGTTAGTTGGCTGGAAGCCTGAGAGGCAAAGTCTCCTTGGTTGGCACCTTATATGTTTATATTATGTCTGGTAATTCAAGACAGTGTTTGGAAAATATAATTAAAAATAAAATTCTGTATTTTCTCAAAACAGAAAAAAGAAAAATAAATAAATTCTGCAGTTTCTCTGGAGAGAAATTCCAAAATGATAGAACACAAATAAAACTCTCAGGCAGGCACAGTGGCTCACGCCTGTAATCCAAGCACTTTGGAGGCCAAGGCGGGCGGATCACCTGAGGTCAAGAGTTCAAGACCAGCCTGACCAACACGGTGAAACCCCATCTCTACTAAAAACAGAAAAATTAGCCAGGCATGGTGGTGCGTGCCTGTAATCCCAGCTACTCAGGAGGCAGAGGCAGGAGAATTGCTTGAACCCAGGAGGTGGAGACTGCAGTGAGCCAAGATTGAGCCACTGCACTGCACCCTGGGTGACAGAGCAAGACTTCATCTCAAAAAAAAAAAAAAAAAAAGGAAAAAGAAAAGGAAAGAAAACACAGCTCCGCCTCTAACCAAGATTATATTGAGGGGGGAAAAAAAAGAAGTTAAAAGCATCTTAAGAAAAAACAGATTAGATGTAAGATTGATCGAGTCAGCCAGAAAATCAAGTCAGCCAGAAAATATTCCCCTTAAAGAAATTTTTCTCTAACCAAAGTGCACAGCTACTCTCAGCATGACAAAAATGAGCATTATGAAGAAAAAGAAAATATTCTTAGCAGAATTTTCTAAGGTTTCTCTTCCATGTCTGCTGTTCTCTCATCTCCTAGCCATTGGATGGGGGTTCCATATTGAAATACATCTCACAATTTCGACAAGCACCTTTTGATGAAGATCTGACTTTGTTCATATAGTGGAATATATTCAAGCTTGCAACACAGCTAACTGAAGAGCTATTTTTTCTGGGTGGCCACTTGACCTGTTTTATTTGTCTTGTAATAGCAGCATTCCAATTTAAATGGAAATTTAACTAAAATTAAGCTTATCTGTAATTATCCATTTTCTTTTTTAAGACAGGGTTTCACCGTGTTGGTCAGGCTGGTCTTGAACTCCCGACCTCAGGTGCCCTTCTTGGCCTCCAAAGTGCTTGGATTACAGGCGTGAGCCACCATGCCCGGCAATTATCCATTTTGGATAAATTAATAAGCATGTAAGACTAATATCTATTGTAATAATTTGGTGGTGAATTTGCTTTGGATATTATATATAAATATCTAAGTATAAACAATGTTAATGTGCTAGTCATAGTGTATGTTGTATTTTTCAAAATTGCCTGTAACCATAGTTTAGTTAAAACACTTTCCGGCTGGGCGCGGTGGCTCATGCCTGTAATCCCAGGAGGCTGAGGTGGGCGAATCACTTGAGGTCAGGAGTTCGAAACCAGCCTGGCCAACAAGGTGAAACCCTGTCTCTACCAAAAATACAAAACAATTACCCAAGCATGGTGGCAGGTGCCTGTAATCGCAGCTACTTGGGAGGTTGAGGCAGGAAAACTGCTTGAACACAGGTGGCAGAGGTTGCAGTGAGCCAAGATAGTGCAACTGCACTCCAGCTGGATGACAGAACAAGACTCGGTCTAAAAAAAAAAAAAAAAATGGGTGCACATGAATAAAGTGAGTTCTTAGAGACCTATGGAGACTTAGATTCTGACACAACGAGAGTAGGAGACTACAACACCCCAGAGACACTAGTAAACAGATTACTGAAGCAGAAAATTAAAAGATATTAGGACGTAAACTTAACACTTGACCAAATAGTCCCAAAAGATGTCTAGAGAACTCTCTATCTAAAAGCATATATAAAATAATATGCATTATTCTCATTACCACATGGCAAATACTCTAAAACTGATGCCACAATCAGAAATAAAACAATCCTCAGCAAATCCAAAAATCCCCAAATCATACCAACCACATACTCAGATGACAGCTTGACAAAACAACATTCAATATAAAGAAAACCACTTGAAACAAGCGAATTACATGGAAATTCAACAACTAGTACTTGAATAACTTTTGGATAAGTAATAAAATTTACCCAAATTTTATTGTTTGGGCAGAACTCAACAAGTTCTTTAAAAATAAATGGGTAGAGAAAAGAAAAAAGAAAGAAAAATGGGTACAAAATTGCAACGTACCAGAATCTCCACAGCACGGCCAAGGCAGTGTTAAGAGAGAAATTTACAGCTGGGCGCGGTGGCTCACACTTGTAATCACAGCACTTTGGGAGGCCAAGGCGTGCGGATCATGAGGTCAAGAGATAAGAGACCATCCTGACCAACATGGTGAAATCCCGTCTCTACTAAAAATACAAAATTTAGCTGGGCGTGGTGGCGCACGCCTGTAGTCTCAGCTACTCAGGAGGCTGAGGCAGGAGAATTACTTGAACCCGGAAGGTGGAGGTTGCAGTGAGCCAAAATTGCGCCACGGCACTCCAGCCTGGCGCCTGGCGACAGAGCAAGACTCTGTCTCAAAAAAAAAAAAGAGAGAGAGAAATTTATAGCATTAAATGCTCACATCACAAAGTTAGAAAAACCTCAATTTAAAAACCTGGCTGGCTGTGATGGCTCACGCCTGTAATCCCAGCACTCTGGGAGGCTGAGGAGAGTGCATCACCTGAGGTCAGTAGTGCCATCTCAGCTCAGTGCAGATCAAGTTTCGTTGTTTTTGAGACAGAGTTCTTATCACCCAGGCTGGAATGCAATGGCATGATCTCAGCTCACTGCAATCTCTGCCTCTTGATTTCAGTAGATCAAGCCTGACCAACATGATGAAACTCCTTCTCCATTAAAAATACAAAAATATTAGCCAGGCGTGGTGGCAGGTAACTGTAATCCCAGATACTTAGGAGACTGAGGCAAGAGAATTGCTTAAACCTGCGAGGCAGAAACTGCAGTGAGCTGAGATCACGCCATTGCACTCCAACCTGGGCAACAAGAACTCTGTCTCAAAAGCAGAAACAAAAACAAAAACTGACATCATAAATAAAAGAATGAGAGAAGAAAAAGCCAATCGACGTCTAAGCTATCAAAGTACAAGAAATAATGAAGACTGGCTGGGTGCAATGGCTTGTGCCTGTAATATACCACTTTGGGAGGCCAAGACAGACAGATCACAAGGTCAGGAGTTCAAGGTCAGCCTGGCCAAGATGGTAAAACCCCATCTCTACTAAAAATACAAAAATTAGCCAGCTGTGGTGGTAGGCACCTGTAACCCCAGGTACTTGGGAGGCTGAGGCAGAGAACTGCTTGAACCTGGGAAGCAGGTTCAAGCTGAGATGGCACCACTGCACTCCAGCCTGGGCACCAGAGAGAGACTCTGTCTCAAAACAAAAATAAAATAAAATAACAAAAATCAGATCTGAAATGGAGAATTAGACATTAAAAAAAAATAAAAAAATACGGAGAACTCCAGGAGTAAAATCTTTGGAAGAATTAATAATGATCTACTATGGGGAGGGAGCGGAGGGTGGGGCGGGACAACATGGGGAGAAATGCCAGATATAGTATGCACCCAAAGTAAAATAAATAAATTTAATAATAATAATCCACTAGAGAGATTAATGAAGAAAGAAGATTCAAATAAACACAACTAGAAAGGACAAAATGAACATCAACACTGACCCGACAAAAAAACAAATAACTACTATTGCCGGGTGCAGTGGCTCACGCCTGTAATCTCAGCACTTTCCAAGGCCAAGGCGGGTGGATCACAAGGTCAAGAGATAGAGACCATCCTGGTCAACATGGTGAAACCCCGTCTCTACTCAAAATACAAAAAAATTAGCTGTGCATAGTGGCACATGCCTATAATCCCAGCTACTCAGGAGGCTGAGGCAGGAGAATTGCCTGAACCCAGGAGGCGGAGGTTGCGGTGAGCTGATATTGCACCATTGCACTCCAGCCTGGGTAACAAGAGCGAAACTCCATCTCAAAAAAAAAAAAAACAAAAAAAAAAAACAAATAAGTACTAAACTCTGTAATGAACACTTCTGTGCAAACAAACTAGAAAATCTAGAAGAAATAGACAGATTCCTGGACATATACATTCTTCAAAGACTGAAACAAACAAAAAAATTGTATCCTTTAACAGACCTACAAGATCCAAAATTGAATGTGTAATAAATAGCCTATAAACCAAAAAAAAGCCCAGGACCAGACAGATTCACAGCAGAATCCTACCAGATGTACAAAAAAAGAGTTGGTAACATTCTTATTAAAGCCATTTTAAAAAATTGAGAAGGAACTCCTCCCCAACTCATTAAATAAGAAAAGCATTATTCTGCTACCAAAACCTGGTATAAAACAACAAAAGAAAACTTTATGCCAATGTTCTTAATTAATACTGATGGAAAAATTCTCAACAAAATACTGGCAAACCGAAGCCAGCAGCACATCAAAAAGCTAATCTACTATGATCAAGTAGCCTATATCCCTGGAATGCAAGGTTATATCAACATACACAAATCAATAAATGTGATTAACCACATAAACAGAAATAAAGACCAAAACCATGGCTCACTGCAACCTCTGCTTTTCAGGTTCAAGCGATTTTCCTGCCTCAACCTCCTGAGTAACTAGGATTACAAGCACTGCCACCGTGCCCGGCTAATTTCTGTATTTTTAGTAGAGATGGGATTTTGCCATGCTGACCAGGATGGTCTCGAACTCCTGACCTCAGGTGATCCACCCACCTCGGCCTCCCAAAGTGTTGGGATTACAGGCATGAGCTGCCGCGCCTGGCCAGAGCTCCATTCCTTTAAGTTTTCAGTTCTTTCTCATTCTGGAAAAAGACCTGAAATCACAAGACAACAGGCAGTGTGACACCCTGTGTATGAGAGAGCAGAGCCTCCCATTCTCAGACACCCAGAGTTCCATTCCAGGCCAGGCCTGTGTGATATCTTTCTTCTGGCACTAAATCTGTAAAGTTTGCTGAACACCAAGCAATTTTCCACCACCAACATATTGTCTAACATTTCAATTCTGACCCTACTCAGAGTCAGCCCAGACTCTGATTTAGGCCTCATTGTCACAATGTTGTCCTCACTGCAGATGACAGTAACAAACTCCAGAGGCCCATCTATGATTCTCAGCTATTGTTTAAAAATTCAGAACTTCCTTTCGGATGCTGAAGTGGGAGAATTACCTGCGGTCAGGAGTTCGAGACCAGTCTGGCCAATGTGGTGAAACTCTGTTTCTACTAAAAATACAAAAAAATTTAGCTGGGCATGGTGGCACGTGCCTGTAGTCCCAGCTACTCAGGAGGCTGAGGCAGGATTGCTTGATCCTGGGAGGCAGAGGCTGCAGTGAGCCGAGATCGCGCCACTGCACTCCAGCCTGGGCAACAGTATTAGACTTTGTCTCCCCCTCGCCAAAGAAAAAAGCCCCACAACTTCCATAACCTCCTTCAAGTTCTAATTTGATAGGCGCTACTCACAGAACTCAGCAAGACACTGAATTCAACAAAACACTACAGTTACGTTTACCAGTTTGTTATAAAAAATACAACTTAGGAAAAAAATAGAAAAAGTACATAGGACAAAGAAAAGAGATGGGTGAAGGTGAAGCACATAGATAATCCTAGAAAATAGCTGTGATTAATACAATTCATTCTTTGTGTTCTGCAGGAACAGTTTATGGAAAGAAACACCCTTCTCATTATGCCGTAGATGGTGCTCTCTTTCTATCACCAAGTTAAGACACTGACCCTGAATTTTCTTCTTTTTCTCAAATTAGCTAAATTTGTTTCCTGTGATCAAAATAAAACACTTTTTAATCACAGTTATATAAGTTTATCTCCTTCCCACAGGCTTCTTAACTTTAAGCTGCCCTCAGTCTGAGCCATCAGGCAACTCCATTTTATGTTCCTCCTAAGAACATGGTGACTTCACGGTAAAATATTTTCTGATACAGAATCTGATCTTTTAGCCTCCATTTGCCATTCCCCTCCCACCTTCTTTCTAATCTTGTTTGCTCTTCCCTAGGGCTCACACCTGTAATCCCAGCACTTTGGGAGGCTGAGGCCCACGGATCACTTGAGGTCAGGAGTTTGGGACCAGCCTGGCCAACATTGTAAAACCCCGTCTCTTCTAAACATACAAAAATTAGCTGGGCATGGTGGCGAGTGCCTGTAATCCCAGCTACCTAGGAAGCTGAGGCAGGAGACCTCACTTGAACCTGGGAGGCAGAGGTTACAGTGAGCTGAGATCTCACCATCACACTCCAGCCTGGGGAACAAGAGTGAAACTCCAGAAGGGAGGCAGAGAGAAAGGGGAAGGAGGGAAGGCAGGAAGGCAGGAAGGAAAAGAGGGAGGGAGAAAGGGAAGGAGGGAAGGAGAGGGACAGAGAAGGAAAATAAGAAAGCCTTTGTCTGCCTAAACTTGGCAATCTTTAAAGATGTTATAGTTGGTACTTCCGTCGGTTGCAATACCTTTATAATTAAAATTTTTTACATAAATCAAATTTTATTTCACAAAGTCCACAACCTGCCTCAAAATAAAAACAACTTCATCTTTAGTAAGACTCTCCAAATCCCCTTTCATCTTACCTGTAACTGCATCTGCTTGTGGGTCCCCAGCTTTCCAGGGCTCTGCAGCTTCTCTCAGAACAAAGCCTTTTTCCATGGCTTGGGTGAGCAGGCTGGGACATCTGCAAGGGAGGCTCCCCAGAAAGAACTGGGCCTTTAATAACCTTCCTTTGCAGGCTCAATATTAGCCTTAGCTTGGAGTCACTGGGCTCAGGCTGTTAAGTCAGAGTGATCCAGGTGGTTTTTGAAACTAAGTGTTTGAAAAATCCAGCAAAATTACACTAACACAGTGTTTATATATAAAAAGAAAATTTTAAGATGCTTACATTTCACACCTCAATAACAAGAGCCAAAGTAGCTATTCCTTTCAGACAATAAATGTTATTATTGTATTATTTCCATTAAAAATTATGTATCCAGGAGTGGCCAACTTGTGGGAAAAAAAAATTATGTAGTAAACAGTCACATGAAAACACTTCTAGGAGGTACCAAGTTTGATCTTATAAAATTTAGCATTAAATTCAGAAACCAAGAAGATAGGATATAGAACGCAGATAGTCACCTTCACAAATTTACCCTGAAAAAGAGCAACTGATGATGTCTTTATGAACCTATAACTCATCAATTATATGCCATGTTTTCTTACGGAAATGTATTCCTTTTCTACAGCCAAAGTAAGAGAGATTTTCCCTATTTTTCTCCTTGGTAGCATTCTAAAAGCTAAGCCACGGCAATCTATTGAAAATCACCTAGCCGTAAAATAAAAGACATCTGAGAAGATTCCTAAACCCATTCTGGGAGATAAAAAGGTAAATGAGAATTCTTAACAAATGAAATATATAATTAGGTTTTTTTTTTTCCTGAAACCCACCTCTTTTATGCTCTTTGTAAATATTTTCTCATTTTTTATAACCTACTAAAAAAATGCAATTAAAAAACTGAACTTAAGCCTGGGTGCAGTGGCTCAAGCCTGTAATCCCAGCACTTTGGGAAGCTGAGGCAGGTGGGTCACGAGGTCAGGACTTCGAGACCATCCTGGCTAACACAGTGAAGCCCCATCTCTACTAAAAATACAGAAATTAGCTCAGCATGGTGGCACATGCCTATAGTCCCAGCTATACGGGAGGCTGAGGGAGGAGAATCACTTGAACCCAGGAGGTGAAAGTTTCAGTGAGCCTCTGCACTCCACACCACTGCACTCCACCCTGGGCAACAGAGCAAGACTGTCTTAACGACGACGACCAAAAAAAAAAAAGTGAAGTTAAAATAAGTGCACACATTTTTTCAAGGTGACAAACTGAGGGATTGGCAGTGCTGATTAGAAAACAGATGTGTCTGACTCATGTGTCAACTCAGGCCATCCAATCACTTGAGAGATTCTCCCACCCACTTCTGTTCACTCAAGTGCACAATGACAACCCTCCTCTCAGGAGACATCGCACTACGCCTCAGTGCCTGCCAAGGTGCATTTTACTTTGCAACTTCTTGCACCATCTCACTGGGGTCAGGCTTTTTGTTTTGTTTTGTTTTTGAGACACTATTTTCACTTTTACAAATCTTAGAGAATCCAGGGGGCAGAAATTATTTGTTTTCCCCTCAATATCAGCATCTGATTGGCCAACTAGCAATGTCTTTCCATGAATTAGAAGCTAAGCTGACTTGTGTGAAGACAATCTTAATGTCTCAAAGGGGTTGCTTTTCAGTGGAAGAGTTCCCCAGGAGATACACTCAGCCTCAGGAATCCACGGGCTCCCTTGAGAGACTACACTCCATACCTCAGGTTGTCCTATAGGAAAAAATGACGTGGAAGCTGATATTCAGTAGACACTGTAGCACACATAGCCATGGTTGTTATCTTGGTTTATCCCCAGACAGCACTAAAACTCAGGACCAGAAAAAAAAAAAAAATGAAGTGTGGCTGAGGGCGCATCACCCCACAAATTTTCCTAAGGAAAAATTTTACCTCAAAACATCCTGAAAAACTCCCTCCGCCTAGGGAAAACAAAAGAAAAAGAGAAGCCAGCCATGGTGTCTGAGGTGGGTGGATCACCTGAGGTTAGGATTCAAGATCAGTCAGGCCAACATGGAAAACCTAGTCTCTAACAAAAATACAAAAATTAGGCCAGGCATGGTGGTTTGCGCCTGTAATCCCAGTACTTTCAGAGGCAGAGGCCCGCAGATCACTTGAGGTTAGGCATTCAAGAACAACCTAACATAGTGAAACCCCATCTCTATTAAAAATACAAAAATTAGCCGGGAACGGTGGCGCATGCTTGTAATCCCAGCAACTCTAGAGTCTGAGTCAGGAGAATTGCTTAAACCCAGCAGGCAGAGGTTGCAGTGAGCTGAGATCGCACCATTGCATTACAGCCTGGGTGAAAATAACAAAACTCCGCCACATTAAAAAAAATAAATAAATTAGCTGGGCGTGGTAGTAGGTGCCTATAGTTCCAGCTACTCAAGTGGCTAAAGCAAAAGAATCTCTTGAACCAGGGAGGCAGAGGTTGCAGTGAGCCAAGATCGTGCCACTGCACTCCATCCTGGGCCACAGAGCAAGACTCCATCTCAAAAAAAAAGAAAAAGAAAAAAAAAACATTGAGGTCCATTAATACAATTCAAGGAAATGTTATGCATATTTCTAAAAAGTACACTAAAAATCATATGTTAAAAGAGAAAAAAATTAATAACTAAATATTATATAGGTAATATTACCAGAAAAAGTTTAGATTTCCCGACATTATGTTGCAATATGCTAATGATATTCTTAGTTGGAGAGTATTCTATTTTTATAATAAATTCAGAATGAGATAATTTCTATGTTTTAGTGACTGATACAAAACATAAAAATACAGAAAATCTCTAATGTGCTCCCATGATGTAGCATTACTTGAAAAATAACTGGGCAAACTCAGGAAAAGACAATTTAATTTCAAGTTTCCAAATAGACACAAAACTTTTTTTTTTTGAGACAGTGTCAGCTCTGTTGCCCAGGCTGGAGTGTAGAGGCAAGATCTCGGCTCACTGCAACCTATGCCATTCTGGTTCAAACAATTCTCCTGCCTCAGCCTCCTGAGTAGCTGTGATTACATGCTCCCGCCACCATGCCCAGCTAATTTTTGTATTTTTAGTAGAGGCATTAGTCAGGCTGGTCTCAAATCCCTGACTTTGTGATCCACCCACCTCAGCCTCCCAAAATGCTGGGATTACAGGTGTGAGTCACTTCACCCAGCCTAGGTACAGAACTTCTAATAAAATAATAAATGGAATCCACAACCTCTGCCTTCTAGGTTCAAGCAATTCTCCTTCCTCACCCTTCTGAGTAGTAGGGATTATGGGTCTGCACCATCATGCTCAGCTAATTTTGTATTTTTAGTAAAGACAGGGTTTCTCCATGTTGGTTAGGCTGGTCTCGAACTCCCAACATCAGGTGATCTGTCTTCCCCGGCCTCCCAAAGGGCTGGGATTGCAGGAGTGAGCCACGGCGCCTGTCCTGTTAAACTCAATTTGTAATAAAACCTGATAAAAATATTTGCCCAATTTTAATGTTTAACCATAAGGTAAGATTCTTATAAATCTTTTATAAACCTTTACATTGTAAGTGTGTGTGTATTGTGTGTGTGCATGACAGAGCAGATCAATGCTTCAAGAAAACCTGTATACCCATTTAATTTAGCCAATATGTTCACACACAGAATCTCTTAAAATTAATTTTGATAAACCTTCCGCAACTTGTTTAAACCTTTAGATTTTTTTTAACTTAAAACAATTATTTAATGCTTTAATCTAGGCAGAAAAAAATCTACAGTCTCATGACTTATCTTTCACACCAAAAACACATTTTACTTTCTTTTCCCACCTTCCATGTAAAATTGTTTCCTCAGTTTCAATTACGTTACAATGTTAACTTTAGTAAGTTTTATTTTTTGTGAAAACCTTAGCAAGCTCAAGATTTTCTTTGATTATTATTATTATTATTTTATTATCATTTTGACATGGAGTTGCACTCTGTTGCCTGGCTGGAATGCAGTGGCACGATCTTGGCTGGATGCAACCTCCACCTCCAGGGTTCAAGCAATTCTCCTGCCTCAGCCTCCTGAGTCGCTGGGACTGCAGGCATGCACCACCCACACCCGGCTACCAAGTTAGAAATTTTAATTGTGTACTAGGTGTGGAGCCTAGCCTAGGACACACCAGGCCCAAGTGCAGATTAGAGCTGACTCTACAGCATAGCCAAGGGGGTGTGGCTAACTCCACATGTCCCCAGGCCTTACCTAGCAGTAAAGTAGGCAAGCTGTACAGTAAGGGTCATAGTGACATTTCATGAAGCATTTAGGAAACCTAACAACCTTTGAATTGTATATCTCTTACATAAATTCTCTTTCACAAATCCTTTCACGACTTACCAGACCATCTGAGACATTCTTCGACTTTTTTTTTTTTTTTTTTTTTGAGACGGAGTTTTACTGTTGTTACTCAGACTGGAGTGCAATGGCACAATCTCGACTCACCGCAACCTCCACCTTCTGGATTCAACCAATTCTCCTGCCTCAGCCTCCCAAGTAGCTGGGACTACCAGCACGCACCACCATGCCCAGCTAATTTTTGCATTTTTAGTAGAGACGGGGTTTCACCTTGTTGACCAGGATGGTCTGATCTCTTGACCTCATGATCGACCCGCCTCCCAAAGTGCTGGGATTATAGGTGTGAGCCACCTCGCCCCACCTGCATTCTTTGACTTTCTAACCTGCCCTAAACATTCCTCCTTTTTTTTTCTTTTCTGAGACAGTCTGGCTCTGTCACCTAGGCTGGAATGCAATGGCGCAATCTCGGCTCACTGCAACCACCACCTCCCAGGTTCAAGCAATTCTCCTGCCTCAGCCTCCTGAGTGGCTGGGATTACAGGTATGTACCACCATCCCCAGCTAATTTTTTTGTATTTTTAGTAGAGACAGGGTTTCACCATGTTGGCCAGGCTGGTCTCTAACTCCTGACCTCATGATCCACCTGCCTCAGCCTCCCAAAGTGCTGGGATTACAGGCATGAGCCACCATGCCCAGCCATGACATTCCTCCTTTTAAACAACTAGTCATTTTACTTTTGGACAAAAATTTACCATATGAAATCATTTCTTACATAAAATATCTTTCTTTATAATCTTTGACATGGCTAATTCCACGTCTCCAGGCCTTATCTAGAATCTAATGGCCTTAAGCTAGGTAACTTTCTTTAAAAGTTAAAGAAGCAATTTATGACCTTAAAGCATTTAGCAAACTTAACATCTGGTCTGCATAATTTAGACTAAATGTTTTTATCAGTAATTTTAAAGCTGTTTTTATTTCCCAAAGATTATTAAAGTTACATGACCTCAAAGGCATTACACTTTTTATTTTTCTTTCAAAATATTTGATTTAAGCACTTTTGTTTGTTTAGCCAATTAATTAATTTGTGATAAGCCAAGAGCGCACCATTGCACTCCAGCCTGAGCGACAGAGCGAGACTCCATCTCAGGAAAAAAAAATAATAATAAAGAAAGTAAACGACCATCCTGGCCAACATGGTGAAACCCAGTCTCTTTTTTTTTACTTTTCCTAGCAAACAATATTCTGTCACAGAAACCCAGTCTCTACTAAAAATATAAAAATTAGCTGGGTATAATGTTGCATGCCTGTAGTCCCAGCTACTCAGGAGGCTGAGGCATAAGAATCATTTGAACCCGGAGGCAGAGGCTACAGTGAGCTGAGACTGCACCACCACACTCCAACCTGGGCAACAGAGCGAGACTTTGCCTCAAGAAAAAGTAAAGAAATAAAAGAATAGCTACTCTAGGGTAGGCATGGTGGCTCATGCCTGTAATCCCAGCACTTTGGGAGGCTGAGGCAGGCGGATCACCTGAGGTAGAAAGTTCAAGACCAGCCTGACCAACATGGAGAAATCCCGTCTGTACTAAAATTACAGAAAATTAGCCAGGCATGGCGGCACATGCATGTAATTCCAGCTACTTGGGAAAATGAGGTAGGAGAATCGCTTGAATCCGGGAGGCGGAGGTTGCAGTGAGCAGAGATCAGGCCATTGCACTCCAGCCTGGGCAAAGAGAGCCAAACTCCATCAAAAAAAAAAAATGGTTACTCCTCCATAGACAGCAGCTCCGAGGGGTGCTGGTTGCTCATGTTTATGGTTATTTCTTGAGGGCAGGCTGAACGAAGGGTGGATTATTTATGTCTCACCTTTTCGGACAATACAGGGTAACTTCATGATGTTGCCATGGCATTTGTAAACTGTCATGGCTCCGGTAAGAGCGCAGCAGTAACGACAACCGGAGGTCACTCTCACTGCCATTTTGGTTTTAGTGGGGTTTGGCCAGCTCTTTGACTGCAACCTGTTTTATCAGCAAGGACTTTGTGACCTGTATTCTATCTCATCCTGCGACTTAGAATACCTTAACTGTCTGGGAATGCATCCCAGGAGGTTTCAGCCTCATTTCACCCAGCTCCTATTTAAAATAGAGTTGCTCTGGTTCACACCTCTGGCAAAGAGGTGTGCTTTATAAAAAGCTGGTGAGGGGATTTGGGTCAGGAAAGGCCAGGCTGTCCAAACATTCAGAAACATCTATGTGACTGTCCTTTCCATTAGGAGCCAGGACCCAGAGAGCCACCCACTTCATGTGTCTTTAACCTATGCTAGGCCCTGCTGTTGATTCACTTCTACTGAACAAGTGGCTTATGGTTGGGCTATTTACACTCAGGAGTATATTCCTGCTAGCAGGGCCATGGCTGTGTAAACCAAAAGGTATCTGAAACAGGTCTCAATCAATTTAAAAGGTTTATCTTGCCAAGGTTAAAAATAAGCCTATGACACAGTGTCAGGAGGTCCTGATGATATGTGCCCAAGGTGGTCAGGGCACAGCTGCTTTTATACATTTTAGGAAGACATGAGGCATCAATCAGTATGAGTAAGATGTACATTTCATTCAGAAAAGCAGGACAACTTGAGGTAGGGGCTTCCAGATCATAAGTAAATAAGAGACAAAAGGTTGGATTCTTTTGAGTTTATCCTTGATAAACATTCAACTGAATACATAATTTACTCTGGCTCAGTGAATCTGCATTTCTAAATTAACAATAGTGCAGAGGAAGCAATCAGATATGCATTTATCTCAGGCGAGGCTCAGAGAAATGGTTTTGAGTTCCATCTGTCATTTGTTCTCAAAGAATTTCCTTGTTGGCAAATTGTGAGGTACATAGCTTTTTTATCTTTGTAGCTATCTTATTTATAAATAAAATGGGAAGCAGGCTTGCCAGACTTAGTTCCCAGCTTGATTTTTCTATTCACTTGGTAATTTTGGCATCAAGAGATTTATTTTCCTTTAACAGTGGAAATCCCTTTCATGATCAAGTGTATCTTTAAACTAGAGAGAACAAAACAAAATATCTATTCTAAAGTAACAAAGGTTAATTTAAAAAAACTCATAAACACAAATATAACTATCACTACATCTTTCAGAAGAGCCCACCCTAATTCTTTTAATTCTCATTCACTATAATTCAAATAGACTTTTTACATAGTTTTATAATGGATCTTAATGTCAGAGGCATTCAAACCAGAGCAACTCAATCTTGAATAGCAGCTGCGTGAAATGATGCAAACCCTACTTTTCTGCATCCCCAGGTTAGGCATTCTTGTCACAGGATGAGACAGCACAAGATACACTGCACTTAGCAATTTGTCACCATCTTCTCTGTTAGCAGGGTGCAAGCAGAAACAAAGAGTCACATATTTAGGTCATGAATGCAGATATGTCACAAAGCCTCTGTGGTCAGGGTCAAGAAAGGAGTTTCCCATCCCCTATGTGTTGGTCTCAGATTCAATATATACAATACTCAAACAATGTGAGACTCAGGAAAAAAGGAGAGTCACGACACCTAGGTGCTGAGCCCAGTGATATGTCACAATTATCCTTTGTAGCAGTTTCAAGTAAAAAAAGGAGAGTCACAACACTTAAGTGATGGGCCAGGCGCGGTGGCTCATGCCTATAATCCCCAGCACTTTGGGAGGCCAAGGCGGGTGGATCACGAGGTCAAGAGATGGAGACCATCCTGGTCAACAAGGTGAAACCCCGTCTCTAATAAAAATACAAAAATTAGCTGGGCATGGTGGTGCGTGCCTGTAGTCCCAGCTACTCAGGAGGCTGAGGCAGGAGAATTGCCTGAACCCAGGAGGCAGAGGTTGCAGTGAGCCAAGATCATGCCATTGCATTCCAGTCTGGGTAACAACAGCGAAACTCTGTCTCAAAAATAAATAAAAAACACTTAAGTGATTAAAAAAAACAATATGTCATAATACCTTGCTGAACAGAGCCCATGCAGGAGACTTACCTAGACTTACCTAGGTGTTGGACCCAGCCATATATCACAATATGAACTATATGCAGAGATCAGGCAAAAAAAAAAAGTCACATCTTAGGCAGAACCCAGGCAGTAGAAGAGAGTCACATCACCTAGGTTCTGGGTCCAGAAATGTCACAGTACTCTCTAAGAAAAGAACCCTGGCAGAAGACTTACATCATCGAGGTGAAACGAACAGAGATATGTCACAATGCCCCCTGTGTGTAAGGCTCAACATGAAAAAAGAAAAATCACATAACCTAAGAGCTGGGCCCAGCTACATATCACAAGCACCCCAGTGGACAAGACCAAAGCATGAGAAAAGTCACATCACATGGGTGCTGGACTAAGTGAGATGCTGCAATCCAAACTGTAAACACATCCCAGGAAGAAGAGGAGTCACATTGTCTAAGTAATGGGCCCAGAGATATGTCGAAGTAACCCTGTGGAGAGGAACCAGGCAGAAGAATCATGTAGCCTCTGTGCTGATCCCAGTGATAAGTCACTGTGTTTTATGAGAGCAGGGCCACGGCAGGAAAGAAGAGTCACATTATCTAGGTTCCAGGGCCAAATATATGTCACAGTCTCTCCTATAGGCTAAAGCCAAGTAAGAAAGTCACATTAGGCCATTACATAACTTCATCTGAAACCAACAGAACGCTCATCACAGTTACCATGGGCTCATTTACTTCACCAGTAATGAACATGGCCATGGAAATTCTGGTGGATGTAGTGGTCCATTTTCTTATAAATGACATAGAAAAATGGCTTCCTGTCCAGTTAATGACATACTTGCCAAAACGAGCAATCAGACTCTTAATTGCCAGGTTGATGATTCTAATAAAAAACATGCTCAAACTATGTACTCAACAAGGCAGCTTCCCTTGCTTACAAGATGCTGAAATGCTTCAAAAACAACATCTTGTATTTTTGAGACCGAGTTTCGCTTTTGTTACCGAGGCTGGAGTGCAATGGCACGATCTCGGCTCACTGCAACCTCCACCTCCTGGGTTCAGGCAATTCTCCTGCCTCAGCCTCCTGAGTAGCTGGGATTACAGGCAGGTGCCACCATGCCCAGCTAATTTATATATTTTTAGTAAAGACAGAGTTTCACCATGTTGACCAGGATGGTCTCGATCTCTTGACCTCATGATCCACCTGCCACGGCCTCCCAAGTGCTGAGATTACTGGCGTGAACCACCACACCCGGCCTAATGTTTTGTATTTTTTCAAGAAGATGATGCCTGGACAACCAGCACAAGTCATTGAGAGGAAGATGATAATTTCGTTGAGTTTCCTGAGCTACTCTGATGCTGTGATTCAACAACTACTAGGGGCCAGGTGTGGTGGCTCACGCCTATAATCCCAGCACTTTGGGAGGCCGAGGCGGGTAGATCACAAGGTCAAGAGATCGAGACCATCCTTGTCAACAAGGTGAAACCCCATCTCTACTAAAAACACAAAAATTAGCTGGGCATGGTGGTGCACGCCTATAGTCCCAGCTACTCGGGAGGCTGAGGCAGAATTGCTTGAACCCAGGAGGTGGAGGTTGCAGTGAGCCAAGATTGTGCCATTGTACTCCAGTCTGGGTAACAACAGTGAAACTCTGTCACAAAAAAAAACAACTACTAGGAAATTTGATGATGGTGTTTTCCAATCTCATCCCTCTCTTGGACAAAGACAAAAGCATTGAAACGAGGAAAATATCCCACAATAGACTGTGTGAATAAAGAATAAAAATATATAAAAATAGGCCAGGCTCAGTGGCTCACGCCTATAATCCCAGCACTTTGGGAGGCTGAGGCGGGTGGATCACAAGGTCAAGAGATGGAGACCATCCTGGTTAACAAGGTGAAACCCCATCTCTACTAAAAATACAAAAATTAGCTGGGCATGGTGGTGCGCGCCTGTAGTCCCAGCTACTCAGGAGGCTGAGGCAGAATTGTTTGAACCCAGGAGGCGGAGGTTGCGGTGAGCCAAGATTTTGCCATTGCACTCCAGTCTGGGTAAAAACAGTGAAACTCCGTCTCAAAAAATAGAGTGTTATTTGGCTGAAAAAAAATATCACATTATAGGCCAGGCATGGTAGCTCACACCTGTAATCCCAGCACTTTGGGAGGCCAAGGTGGGCAGATCATCTGAGGTGGGGAGTTTCAGACCAGGCTGACCAACATGGCAAAACCCTGTCTCTACTAAAAATACAAAAATTAGCTGGGCATGGTTGTGGGTGCCTGTAATCCCAGCTACTCGGGAGGCTGAGGCAGGAGAGTTTCTTGAACCTGAGAAGCAGAGGTTGCGGTGAGCCAAGGTCGCACCATTGCACTCCAGCCTGGGCAACAAGAGTGAAACTCCATTTCAAAAAAAAAAAAAAAAAGTCACATTATATAGATGATGGGTTCATAAATATGTCACCATGCCCACTGTGGGAAGGGTTCAGGCGAAGGCTCACATTACCTTAGTTCCCAGCCGCACAACATGTCACAATGGCTGATGAGGAAAGTGCCAACGAAACAATGTAACATCATGTTGATGTTTGGCCCAGCAGTATGTCAAAATCTACACTGAGAATGTAGGTAGAAAAGAAGCATCTCAACACCTAGGTGCTGGGCCCAGTGATAGGTAATAATTCTATGAGCCGGAACCTAGTAGAAAGAGAGTCACATGGGCCAGGCATGGTGGATTAGTCCTGCAATTGCAGCAATTTGGGAGGCCGAGGCGGGTGGGTCACCTGAGGTCAGGAGTTTGAGGCCAACCTGACCAACACGGCAAAACCCCATCTCTACTAAAATACAAATATTAGCCAGATGTGGTGGCAGCTGCCTGTAATCCCAGCTACTCAGGAGGCTGAGACATGAGAATAGCTTGAACCCGGGAGGTGGAGATTGCCGTGAGCCAAGATTGCACCACTGCACTCCAGCCTGGGCAACAGAGTGAGACTCTGTCTGAAGAAAGTCTCATTACCTGGATGATGGGTGCACAGATAGATTATAATGCTTCCTGCAGGCAGGATCCCACCGAACAAGTTGTATCACCTGGATGTTGCACATAGCAATATGTCACAATGGCCCATGAAGGCAGGACACAAGCAGAACAGTCACATAACCAGGGTGTGGAGCTTAGTGATGTCACAATGCTCCACAGTGGGCAGTGCTGAGGCAAAAATACAGAGTCACACCACCAAGGTGTTGGATTCAGCAATGTGTCACAATCCAATCTGTAGGCGAGGTACCAGGTAGGAGAGTCAAATCACTCAGGGCTGGGCAAAGGGGTATGTCACAATCACAGTTGCAAAAACTGTAGGAATGAACTTAAAAATCCTACATGTCTTATTTCTAAGTATTAGAGTCAATACATTTTGTATGTTCAGTCTAAGTACACAAGAGTCACAATCTCAAAGGTGGATTGGAAACATGTGGCCAGGCGCGGTGGCTCACGCCTATAATCCCAGCACTTTGGGAGGCCGAGGTGGGTGGATCACGAGGTCAAGAGATCAAGACCATCCTGGTCAATGACAGGAAACCCCGTGTCTACTAAAAATACAAAAATTAGCTGGGCATGGTGGTACATGCCTGTAGTTCCAGCTACATGGGAGGGTGAGGCAGGAGAATTGCTTAAACCCAGAAGGCGGAGGTTGCAGTGAGCCGAGATCGTGCCATTGCACTCCAGTCTGGGTAACAACAGCGAAGCTCTATCTCAAAAAAAGAAAAGAAAAGAAAAAAAGAAACATGCATGAGAGCCTCAGTCTTTGCTGCAGACTGTGTCCCCTTAATGGACTCACAGCCTCTCAGGCATGCTGAATCTTGATCTGAGTGTCACCAACCCACATGTGAACCTAATCCACATGAGGGTCAATTTTCCCACTTTTGGCTATCTCACATCTCACCCAGATGTGGGAATCAGAACTTCGACAGTGAGCTGTGTTCATGTGAAAAGTTGACAAGTTTTTACTGTTGGCTGGGTTTGCATATGAGTGTTATAATGTTACCAAAGTGCTAGGCCCTGAGTGCTTTAAACAATAGGCACGTACCACCTGAGTGCTTTATACAATAGGCATGATAGTCACAATTTGTTCTGAGACTTTTTTTGTCTTTTTGGAGACAGAGTTTCGCTCTTGTTGCCCAGGCTGTAGTGCACTGGCACAGTCTCAGCTAACTGCAACCTCCACCTCCTGGCTTCATGCGATTCTCGTGCCTCATCCTCCCAAGTAGCTGGGACTACAGGCATACACCACCAGCCCCACTAATCTTTGTATTTTTAGTAGAGACGAGGTTTCGCCATATTGGCCGGGCTGGTCTCAAACTCCTGACGTCAAAAGATCTACCCATCTCGGCCTCCCAAAGTGCTGGGATTACAGGTATGAGCCACCGTGCCTGGTCAAGACTTTCCGGCTAAGGTTTTTTTCTCTAATATAAACTCATAATCATACCTGTGGATCTAAGCTCATGTATTAAAGTCAACATCTTTCCAATTGTCTGGGTCTAGAGAAAAGAGCCCTCACCTGTCTATGAGCTGGGTGTAGAAATGAGTCACCATCTTAACTGCTGTCAAGTGATTAAATATGACAGTCACAATTTTTACTGTGGACTCCATTCACATGTGAAATTCAGGATCTCCCAGTGTGCTCTGTCTATGTGTGAGGGTGTCAGTGTTAATATTTGGTAGGTTCTGGATATGAGAAACGCAGTCTCACCTGTGTTCTTGGCCCTATCATAACACTCTCTGTACTGTCCAAAGACTATATACAAAATGTAAAGGAATGGTAATCCTTTATGATGTTCTTCCCTAGAGAAGACCCAGGACTTTACCCATTTCTCTAAGTCTAGCTACAAGCACCAGTATCTCAGCTACTGACTGGTTTGTGGAATGAGGATCATTATCACAACTGTGAGCTGGGCGAAAGCAAGGCGCAGAAAAAATAAAATAAAAAAAGAAACAACAAAAACATAAAAAAAAAAAAAAAGCAAGGCGCAGACAACAATCACATTACTTGGATACTGGGACCAGCTACATCACAATTCTCTGCAGGCAAGGCTTGGGCACAAGAGACACAGCACCTGGCTGCTGAACCCAGATGTGCATCACAATCTTCCTGTGGGCACGGTGCATATGGAAGAAGAGAGTCATACCTCCAAAGTAATGGATGCACAGATATGTCACAAGGCTTCCTATAGACAAGGCCCAGGCAAGAGCTTTTCACCCATTTGGTTTGACCCAGCAATATGTCAAAATACCCACAACACAAGAGGCTCAGGTTAAAGAGAAAAGTGGTGGTATCACCTATATGTAGAGTACAGTGATATGTCACAATCATCCCCTTTTATAGGGTTCAGGTTAGAAAAGAAGAGTTATGGCTGGGCGCAGTGGCTCACGCCTGTAATCCAAGCACTTTTGGAGGCCGAGGCGGGTAGATCACAAGGTCAGGAGTTCTCGAGACCCGCCTGGTCAACATGGTGAAACACTGTCTCTACTAAAGATACAAAAAATTAGCCAGTCATGATAGTGTGTGCCTGTAATCCCAGCTACTTGGGAGGCTGAGGCAGGAGAATCACTTGAACTCAGGAGGCAGAGGTTGCAGTAAGCAGAAATTTTGCCATTGCACTCCAGCCTGGGTGACATAACAAGACTCTGTCTCAAAAAACAAACAAACAGGCTGGGCACAGTGGCTCACGCCTATAATCCCAGCACTTTGGGAGGCCAAGGCAGGTGGATCACCTGAGGTCAGGAGTTCAAGACTAGCCTGACCAACACAGTGAAAACCTGTCTATACTAAAAATACAAAAATTAGCTGGGCGTGATGGCACAAGTCTGTAATCCCAACTACCTGGGAGGCAGGAGAATCACTTGAACCTGGAGGCAAAGGTTGTGGTAAGCCAAGATCGTGCCACTGCACTCCAGCCTGGGCAAAAAGAGCAAAAATCCATCTAAAAAAATAATAATAGAGCCAGGTGTGGTGGCTCACTCCTGTAATTCCAGCACTTTGGGAGGCCGAGGCCAGTGGATCACCTGAAGTTAGGAGTTTGAGACAAAGCTGGCCAACATGGTGAAACCCTATCTCTACCAAAAATACAAAAAATCCAGGTATGCAATGCATGCCTACAGTCCCAGCTACTTGGGAGGCTAAGGCAGGAGAACTGTTTGAACCTGGGAAGCAGAGGCTGCAGTGAGCCAATATTGTACCACTGCACTTCAGCCTAGGTGACAGAGCAAGACGCCATCTCAGAAAAAAAAAGATGATGGGTCCAGAAATATGGCAAAATGTCTCCTGTAGCCAGGGTCTAAGTAGGAGATTCATATCACCTGGTTGTTAGACCCAGCAATATGTTACAATAGCCCATGTGGCACAGAAAAGATAAACACATTACCTGGGTGCAGGGACTACTGATATGTCACAATGCCCTCTGTGGGAGCACCAAGGCAAGAATACAGGGTCACATCATCTACATGCTGGGTCCAGCGATATGCCGCAATCCTATCTGTGTGCTGGGCCAAGGCAGGAGAGTCAAATCACTCATGTTCTGAGCAGTGGCATGTGTCACAATTAAACCTGCAGAAAGACCCAGAAATGAGAGAAACAATTCTTCATGTGTCTTCATTCTAGGTATGAGAGTCAGTACCATTTGGATGTTGGGTTTAAGTACAGAAGCCACAATCTCAATGTAGATGAATCCATGCACAACAGCCTCAATCTCTTCTGTAGACTGTGTCTCCTCAGTAAAATCATAGTCTCACAGGTGTGCTGAACCTTGATCTGAGAGGCACCAATCCATCTGTGAACCAGATTTACAAAGAAGAGTCAATTTTACCGTCGGGCATGGTGGCTCACATGGGTAATCCCAGCACTTTGGGAGGCCGAGGCAGGTGGATCACCTGATGTCAGGAGTTGGAGACCAGCCTGGCCAACATGGTGAAACCCTGTCTATACTAAAAATACCAAATTAGCCGGGCATGGTGGCATGTGCCTGTAGTCCCAGCTACCCAGGAGGCAGAGGCAGAACTGCTAAAACCGAGGAGGTGGATGTTGCAGCGAGCTGAGATCATGCCACTGCACTCCAGCTCAAAACAAACAAACAAACAAACAAAAAAAGAGTCAATTTTGCAACTTTCCACTGCCGCCAGGTGTGACATCCAGAACTTCAGAAGTGGGTTGTGGTTATGTTAAGGGATGACAATATTTACTGTTGGCTGGTTGTGCATGAGTGTCACAATGTCACCTATGTGCTGGGCCACGTAAGGGCACTCAGTGTGTTACCCAAAGGCTTTATACAATACACATTAGATTCAAATCCACTCTGAGATCTTCATGGTGGCATGAACACATGATCGTACCTGTGGCCCTAGGCCCAGAGTTAAGAGTCAACATCTCTCCAATTGAATGATCCATATAGAAGAGTCCTCACCTGTCTATGGGCTATGTTTAGAAATGAGTCATTATTCCTACTCTGGCTGGATGTTTGCATATCACAGTCACAATTCCAACTGTGGACTGCATCTACAAGCGAGATTTAGGACCTCATCAATGAGCTCTGTCCATGTTAAGGTTATAATTGTAACCATTGGCAGGGTGTTCATTTAAGAAACACAATCTCGGGCCGGGGGTGGCTCATGCATGTAATCCCAGCACTTTGGGAGGCCGAGGCAGGCAGATCACTTGGGGTCAGGAGTTCGAGACCAGCCTGACCAACACGGTGAAACCCTGTCTTGTACTAAAAATACAAAAAATTTGCTGGGCATGGTGGCTGGTGCCTGTAATCCCAGTTACTTGAGAGGCTGAGGCAGGAGAATTGCTTGAACCCAGCAGGGAGAGGCAGTGAGCCAAAATTACACCACTGCACCCTAGCCTGGGCAATAAGGGAGGGAGGGAGGAAAGGAAGGATGGAAGGAAGGAAGGAAGGAAGGAAGGAAGGAAGGAAGGAAGGAAGGAAGGAAGGAAGGAAGGAAGGAAGGAAGGAAGGCAGGCAGACACAATCTCAGCCGGGTGTAGTGGCTCATGCCTGTAATCCTAACATTTTGGAAGGTCAAGGCAGGTAGATCACCTAAGGCCAAGAGTTTGAGACCAGACTGACCAACATGGTGAAACTTTATCTCTAACAAAAATACAAAAATTAGCTGGGCATGGCGGTACATGCCTGTAATCCCAGCTACTCGGGAGGCTGAGGAAGGAGAATCACTTGAACCCAGGAGGTGGAGGTTGCAATGAACTGAGATTGTGCCACTGCAATCCAGCCTGTGCTGGAGGGGAGTGAAACTCAGACTCAAAAAACAAACAAAAAAACCCACAATCTCATCTGTGTTTTTGGCTTGTGATGACATTCTCTGTGCCACCTGAGAGCTTTTTACAACATTTGAGAGAGTAGTAATTCTCTATGACCTTTGCAAAAAAAGAAAACTTAGAATCATGTTTGTTTTCCCAAGCCTAGCTAGGCAATGTGTATCTCTTTTACTGCCTGGTTCAAGGTATGAGAATCATCATAGTGATTGAAGCTGGGGCAAAACCTATGTTACAATTACACCTATGGGTAGGGAGTGAGCAGGAGAGTCACATCACCTGGGGCTAGTCCAGAGATATGTCACAATCTTTTTTGAGGGCAAGGACCAGGCAGAAGAGTCACATCACCTAGATGCTTGGCCAGAGATGCCTTAAAATCTCTCCCTATAAGATGGACACAGGCAGCAAGTTACATCACCTGGGTGCTGGGCCCAACGGTATGTTACAATGCTCTCTGTGAGCAATACCCGGAGAGGTGAGACACATTATCTGGTTGCTGATCCCAGTGATATGTTACAATCTTTTTTTTGGACATGGTGCATTTAGATGAGTAAAGTCACATCTTATAATTGATAGATATCTAAATATGTCACAAGGTTCCCTGTGGGCAGGGCCCAGGCAGGAGTCTCCCATCCCCAAATGTCCATCCCCAAATGTTACATACCCAGTGATATGTAACAATATCCAAAATATGCAACGTCCAGGCAAAAGAAGAGAATTACATCATCTAGGTGCTGGGTCCAGTGATACATCCCAAACCTCCTTAGGCAGGGCGCAGGCTGAAAAAAAGTCATATCACCTAGGTGATGAATTAATAAAATATGTCATAACACCCTCGTGGCCAGGGCTTATGTCAGAGACTCCCATCACCTTGGTGACAGATCCAGCTATATGTCACAATAAAAGATGTATGCAAGGCCCAGACAAGACAAGACAAGAATTCCATTGTGTAGGGGCTGGGCCTAGTCATACATCTCAATCTTTTTTTTTTGGTCAGAGTCCAAGCAGTAGAGAAGATGTCATATCAACTAAATGCTGCATCCAGCAACATGTCACAATACCCTCTGAGAGGAGAGTCCAGGCAGAAAAGTCATCACCTAGGTGAAAGGCCCAGAGATATTTCCTAGTGCTACCTGTTTGCAGGGCTCAGGAAGAAGACAGAGTCAGATAATGTAGGAGCTGATGGCACAATCACTACAGTGGGCAGGGCCTAGGCATGAGAGGAGAGTCACATCACATAGGTGCTGGGCCAAAAGACATCTCACATTTCCTACTGTGGACAGGTTCAGAAAAAAAGAGGAGAGGTTTATTATTTAGGTGACTGGCCGAGAGATACGTCACAGTGACTACTGGGACAGGAACCAAGCATAAGAATCACATCACCGGCTGGGAGCGGTGGCTCACGCCTATAATCCCAGCACTTTGGGAGGCCGAGGCGGGTGGATCACGAGGTCAAGAGATCGAGACCAACCTGGTCAACAAGGTGAAACCCCATCTCTACTAAAAATACAAAAATTAGCTGGGCATGGTGGCGCATGCCTGTAGTCCCAGCTACTCAGGAGGCTGAGGCAGGAGAATTGCTTGAACCCAGGAGGTGGAGGTTGCAGTGAGCCAACATCGCGCCATTGCACTCCAGCCTGGGTAACAAGAGCGAAACTCCAACTCAAAAAAAAAAAAAAAAAAATCACATCACCTGTGTGCTGGGCCAAGCAATAAGTTACTCTCCTTACTGTTAGCACGACCCAGGCCCAAAGATATATTACAATCTGACCTATGGACAAAGCCCAGATAAAAAAGTAGAATCACATAAAATAGCTGATGAGCTCAAATATGTATCAAAATATTTTCTGTAAGCATAGTCCAGGCAGGAAACTCACATCACTTGGATGTAAAACCCACCCTGGTATGTCACAATGTCTTATTTGAGCAGGGCCAAGAAAAAAAATGAGTAGTATCACTTTGGTGCTGGGTTCAGCAATATTTCACAATCTTCCCTGCAGGAAAAACTAAGAAAACAAAGAAAATTAGGGCCAGGCACAGTGGCTCACACCTGTAATCCCAGCACTTTGGGAGGCCCAGGCAGGCAGATCACCTGAGGTCAGGAGTTCAAGACCAGCTTAACCAACATGGAGAAACCCTATTCTCTACTAAAAATACAAAATTAGCTGAGCATGGTGGTGCCTACCTGTAACCCCAGCTACTAGGAAGGCTGAGGCAGAAGAATCGCTTAAACCCGGGAGGTGGAGGTTGTCTGTGTCAAGCTGAGATCACGCCACTGCACTCCAGCCTTGGCAACACGAGCGAAACTCCTTCTCAAAAAATATATATATATAAAATCAGCTAGCCGGGCGCAGTGGCTCACACCTATAATCCCAGCACTTTGGGAGGCTGAGACGGGTGGATCACAAGGTCAAGAGATCGAGACCATCCTGGTCAACAAGGTGAAACCCCGTCTCTACTAAAAATACAAAACTTTGCTGGGTATGGTGGTACATGCCTGTAGTCCCAGCTACTCAGGAGGCTGAGGCAAGAGAATTGCTTGAACCCAGAAGGCAGAGGTTGCGGTGAGCCGAGATCGTGCCATTGCACTCCAGTCTGGGTAACAACAGCAAAAACTCCGTCTCAAAAAAAAATCAGCTATGTGCTGCAAAATGTCACAAAACTTCCTGAGAGCAGATACCAGTAAGACAGAAAGTCAAATCACCTGTGTGACTGCAGACATTTGAAAATGTCACCCATAAGCAGGGTCCAGGCATAAAAGTTCTATCACCCGGCTGCTGGACCCAGCAATATGTCACAAGGGCCCAAGTGGGCATATCACAGGCAGAAGAGTCAGATAACATCAGTGCAGGGCCCAGCAATATGTCACAATGTCTGCTGCAGGCAAAACCTAAAACCAGGGAAGAATCCCATCAGCTAGGTGCTGGGTGTAGCAATATGCTACAATGTTCCAGTAAGCAGGGACCATGCGGAAGAAGACAGTCACACCACCCGGATGCTGGGCCCAGCAACATGTCAACCACCATTCCAGTAATAAAGACCCAGGCAGAAACACACATCATTTGGTTGCTGGTCACAGCAATATGCCTCAATTTTCCCCGTAGGCAGGGTGCAGGCAGAAGAAGAGTTACATCCCCTAGGTGAGAAAGGCAGAGACATGTCACAATGCTCCCTGTAGGAAGGACCCAGGTAGGAGACTCCCATCCTTTAGGTATTGAGCCAAGAAATATGTCACAATCCACAAATATGTAGGGCCTAAGAAAAGAGAGTCACATCACCTTGATGCTAGGTCTCCGTGAGCACAGACCAGGCAGAAGAAAGTAACATCACCGGCTGGGCACAGTGGGTCACACCTGTAATCCCAGCATTTTGGGAGGCCAAGGCCTGTGGATCCCTAGAGGTCAGGAGTTCGAGACCAGCATGGTCAACAGGGTGAAACCCCATCTCTATTAAAAATACAAAAATTAGCCAAGCGTGGTGGCACATGCCTGTAGTCCAGCTACGCAGGAGGCTAAGGCAGGAGAATCACTTGAACCTTGGAGGCGGAGGTTGCAGCGAGCCGAGATCACACCATTGCACTCCAGCCTGGGTAACAGAGCAAGACTCCATCTCAACAACAACAACAAAAAGAAAGTAACATCACCATGGTAATGGGCATCATTGAGTTATATGACAAAGAAAGCTTCATGTAGGCAGGGTCCAGAAAGAAAGTGTTACATACCCTGGGGGCTGGACCCAGCAATATGCAACTTTTTTTTGAGACAAGAGTCTCATTCTGTCACCCAGGCTGGAGTGCAGTGGCAAATCTCAGCTCACTGCAACCTTCAAGCAATTCTCCTGTCTCAGCCTCCTGAGTCACTGGAACTAGAGGCCCCCTGTATTTCTTACTCCCAGCTAATTTTTGTATTGTTAGTAGAAATGGGTTTTTACCATATTGATCAGGCTGGTCTTGAACTCCTGACCTAACGTGGTACACCTGCTTCAGCCTCCCAAAAGTGGTGGCATTATATGCATGAGCCATTGTCCCCGGTCTTATATGTAACCATTTCTAATGCAACGTATTGTGCCACAATACGGCACAACACGTAGGGTACAAGTGGGAGAGTCACATAACATGGGTGCAGAATCCAGTAATATTTTATAATACTCAAAATTTGTGGGGTCCCATAAAAAGAGGACTGGGTGCTGGGACCAGTGATATACTATAATCTTACCTTTGGGATGGGACCAGGCAGGAAACTGAAATCACTCAGGTGCTGGACAAAGGAGTATGTCACAATCACGACTGCAGGAAGGTCCAGTGATGAAGTAACAATCCCACAGAGGTTCCCGTTCTAGGTATGAGAGTCACCATATTCTTTATGTTGGGTCTAAGCACGCTACTGACAATCTCACCAATGAACTGAACCTGTGCATGAGATCCTCCATCCCTCTTGTGAACTGTGTTCGCTCTGCCCTCAACTCGGGTAGGAGAGTCAACATGTCCTCAGGAGGACATGAAGGCAGAATTTTCATTGGTTCAGATAGAAAAATTCTCACCTGCCTATGAACTAGATTTAGAAATGAGTCATTATTCAAACTCTTGCCGAATGTTCACATATGACACCCACAATTTCAACTGTGGACTGTGTCTGTACATGAGATTCAGGACCTTACCAGTGGGCTCCATCACTATGTGAGGGTGACAATTCTAACTGTCAGCAGGTGAGCAAAGAAGAAACACAATCTCACCTGTGTGCTGAACCCTATAATGACACTCTCTGTACCACAAGAGATTTATATAGTATTCAAAAAAGTGGTAATTCTTGACTGGGCATGGTGGCTCATACCTGTAATCCCAGCACTTTGAGAGGCCGAGGTGGGTGGATCACTTGAAGTCAGCAGTTCAAGACCAGCCTGGTCAACATTGCGAAATCCTATCTCTACTAAAAATAGAAAAATTACCTGGATGTAGTGGCATGCACATGTGATCCCAGGTATTTGGGAGGCAGAAACAGGAGAATCACTTGAACCCAGGAGGAGGAGGCTGCAGTGAGCCAAGATCATGCCACTGCACTCCAGCCTGGGTGACAAAGTGAGACTCCATCTTTAAAAAAAAAAAAAAGGCCGGGCATGATGGCTCAACACCTGTAATCCCAGCACTTTGGGAGGCCAAGGCGGATGGATTACGAGGTTAGGAGTTCGAGACCAGCCTGACCGATACGGTGAAACCCCTAATCTACTTTAAAACAAAAAAAAAAATTAGCAGGGCATGGCGGCATGCGCCTGTAGTCCCAACTACTCGGGAGGCTGAGGCAGGAGAATTGCTTGAACCCGGGAGGCAGAGGTTGCACAGATCTGAGATCAGGCCACTACACTCCAGCCTGGGCTACAGAGCGAGACTCTGTCTCAAAAAAACAAAAAAAAAATTAACAACATAAACTGAAGACCCCAGGGCCGCAGCCCGTCCGGCTTACACACCGAGTCAGGATTCACCCCGCTGACTCGCTTCTGAACAATCTGGGCAATACTCGGGGATGCGGGTGCAGAGCTGCCCAGGGAACTCCAGACAGGGCGCCACGCAAGGAAGTGGGGCAGGGGGATGGAACGCAGGGGTCTCAGCAGAGGGCCCAGCCGCCATCTTGCGGACAGGGAGGCCTGGGGCGGAGCTGCGCCAGCTGGGCCTCAGGTTGGTGACCCAGGAGCAGACGGTGGGGAGACCGGTTCCGCCTGATTCACAGCTCGCTCCCCGCTCTCCAGAGGCCCAAGCTCGCATACTCACCATTTCCCAGCTTCCAGAATGTCCTGGCATCTTAGCTCTGCGTCTCCCAAGACCTGCAGATCACAGGGCAACGGAAGCTGTGACAAAGTCACGGGTGGGGGGGTGGGAACCGACATGAAAGAGCGGACCAGTAGAGATGGATCCCAACTTCTGGCGGGTGCGGGAGACAAAGGCCCCGCCACACGCTGGGAGCCACGCCCTCCTCTCAGACGGCGCTACTGAATGAACGGTTCCCACGCCAGCGCCACTGATTGGATAAAGCCCCAGGACCACCTCACACCCTTACCCTCCCCAGCATTAGTGCATTTTTTGGACCAGGAAACAGGCTCAAGTGGGCGGGATCACAAGCCTGAATTACAGCTAATTAACAAGTGAGTTGAGGCTTGAAATACACTTGCTCTTTCCCTTACCTGGGTCTGCTTGTATAATGCATTTTAGTAGTTACCTAAGGGTAAGAAACAGAACATTTGGACACAGGAATTATGTTGCCCAAATTTGCTCAACTTAGAAAAGTTTTTAAACCGATCTTTGTGAAGTGGCTATTCTCAGGGTAATTTTGCCCTGACTGTGCTGCATCTCAGCCTGACCTCTCTTTTTTAAATTACTGGACTGGACCAGATGCGGCGGCTCACGCCTGTAATCCCAGCACTTTGGGACACTGAGGTGGGTGACCTGAGGTCAGGAGTTCGAGACCTGCCTGACCAATATGATGACACCCCTATTTCTACAAAAAAAAAAAAAAAATTAGCTGGGTATGGTGGCATGCGCCTGAAATCCCAGCTACTCCGAAGGCTGAGACAGGAAAATCACTTGAACCCCGGAGGCCAAGGTTGCAGTGAGCTGAGATTGCACCATTGCACTAGAGCCTGGGCAACAAGAGCAAAACACCATCTAAAAAAAATAAATAAAATAAAGTTATTGGATTGGCTGGATGCAGTGGCTCGCCTCTGTAATCCCAGCATGCTGGGAGGCAGAGGCCAGTGGATCAAAAGGTCGGGAGTTCGAGACCAACCCAACCAATATGGTGAAACCCCTTCTCTAATAAAAATACAAAATACTTAGCCAGGTATGGTGGCACACATGTAATCCCAGCTACTCCAGTGGCTGAGACAAGAAATTGCTTGAACCCAGGAGGCAGAGGTTGCAGTGAGCTGAGATCATGCCACTAGACTCCACCATGGGCCAGAGCAAGACTCCATCTCAAAAATAATAATAATAAAGTAAATAAATAAAACTGGATTACTCTCATTAACGGGGTTACTTCACTTTGTATTTGAAAATGGCCAGTTGTCCTCTATAGGTATCCTAATCAGATTTGCTAGTTTACACCGTGGAGGTACGTATGAGAAAATACTTCAGAGGGCCAGGCACAGTGGCTCTCGCCTGTAATCTGCCACTTTGGGAGGTGGAGGCAGGCAGATCACCTTAGGTCAGGAGTTTGATACCAGCCTGGCCAACATGGTAAAGCCCTGCCTGTACTAAAAATACAAAAATTAGCTGGGTGTGGTGACATGCACCTGTAATTTCAGCTACTCGAGAGTCTGAGGAAGGAGAATCGGTTGAACCTGGGAGGCAGAGGTAGCTGTGAGCAGAGATTGTGCCATTGCACTCCAGCCTGAGTGACAGAGGAAAACTCCATCTCAAAAAAAAAAGAAGAAGAAGAAGAAAGAAGGAAGAAGAAGATGAGAAGGAGGAGGAGGAGGAGGAAGAAAATACTTGAGCTACATCAGAACACTCTGCCAGGCTCGGTGGCTCACGCCTATAATCCCAGCACTTTGGGAGGCCGAGGTGGGTGGATCACGAGGTCAAGAGATGGAGACCATCTTGGTCAACAAGGTGAAACCCCGTCTCTACTAAAAATACAAAAATTAGCTGGGCATGGTGGTGTGTGCTGTAGTCCCAGCTACTCGGGAGGCTGAGGCAGGAGAATTGCTTGAATCCAGAAGGCAGAGGTTGCGGTGAGCCAAGATCGTGCCATTGCACTCCAGCCTGGGTAACAACAGCGAAACTCCGTCTCAAAAAAAAAAAAAAAAAAAAAGAAGAAAAGAAGAACACTCTCAACTAGAGGATATATAGGAATTCCTTCATAATATCTACTAGTTTAGTTTTTTTTTTCTTTTTTCGACTTCCCTACTTTTGATTCTTTTTTCTCTTTTGTTCTTTTAACAGTTTTCTCATTATCCATTACATTTAACAGTGACAGCTTGGAGGGCAGAGAGGGGAAACACATGACACAAAATTAGAAGTTCAATTTTGTTATAAGTTTATTTGTTTTGTTTCGTTTTTGTAGACAAGGTCTCACTTTGGCGCCCAGGCAGGAGAACAGTGGCACAATCATAAATCATATTTTGGTTTTAACAGTTTTTTATAAAATATTTGTTTCTGGGTGTGGTGTCACACCTGTACTCCAAACACTTTCTGAGGCCATGGTAGAATGATCACTTAAGTCCAGGAGTTCAAGATCAGTCTGGGAAACAAAGTGAGACTCAGCCTCTACAAAACATTATAAAAATTAGCGGGATGTGGTGTTGCATGCCTGTAGTCCCAGTTATTCGAGAGATGGAGGTGAAAGAATCACTTGAGTCTAAGCAGTTGAGGCTGCAGTGACCCATGATTTAGCCACTGCACTCCAACCTGGGTGACAGTGAAACCTGTATACGTGTGTATATACACACGCACACACACACGTATATAATAAAAATAATATGTATGTTAAAAAAATTCAAGTACAGAAGAAAAGTGAAAGACAAAGGTGTGGGATGTGCAGAAAGGTGTGTGGTTCCTCCAGCTCAGTGAGACTTGGTTTTCTATCTTTATTTATTTATTCGAGAAGGAGCTCTGCTCTTGCTGCCCAGGCTGGAGTGCAATGGCACAATCTCAGCTCACCACAACTTCCGTCTCCCGGGTTCAAGTGATTCTCTTGCCTCAGTATCCCAGTAACTGGGAATACAGACATGTACCACCATGCCGGGTTAATTTTGTATTTTTAGTAGAGATGGAGTTTCTCCATGTTAGTCAGGCTGGTCTTAAACTCTCAACCTTCGGTGGTCCACTTGCCTCGGCCTCCCAAATGCTGGGAATACAGGCATGAGCCACCAGGACCATCTTGAAGAACTGTGCATCCACACTGAAACCACCACCAAGCACATGCCAATTCTCACATGAAATCTGCTCATTGCCGGGTGCGGTGGCTCAAGCCTGTAATCCCAGCACTTTGGGAGGCTGAGGCGGGTGACCTGAGGTCAGGAGTTCGAAACCTGCCTAGTCGACATGGTAAAACCCCGTCTCTACTAAAAATACAAAAATTAGCTGGGCATAGTGGTGCGCGCCTGGAGTCCCAGCTACTCAGGAGGCTGAGGCAGAAGAATTGCTTGAACCCAGGAGGCTGAGGTTGTGGTGAGCCAAGATTGCGCCATTGCACTCCAGCCTGGGTAAAAAGAGCGGAACTCCGTCTCAAAAAAAAAAAAAAAAAAAAAAAAAAAAAACCCTGCAGAATCACATTACTTAGAGAAGGGCCCAGAATACCAAATGACCTTTGGTCATTGAAGTTTAAGAGGCAACAGTCTTTCTGGGTTACAACATGGCGGCTACCAGTGGAACTGATGAACCGGTTTCCGGGGAGTTGGTGTCTGTGGCACATGCGCTTTCCCACCCAGCAGAGTCCTATGGCAACGATCCTGACATTGAGATGGCTTGGGCCATGAGGGCAATGCAGCATGCTGAAGTCTATTACAAGCTGATTTCATCAGTTGACCCACAGTTCCTGAAACTCACCAAAGTAGATGACCAAATTTACTCTGAGTTCCGGAAAAATTTTGAGAAGCTGAAGATAGATGTATTGGACCCAGAAGAACTCAAGTCAGAATCAGCCAAAGAGAAGTGGAGGCCATTCTGCTTAAAGTTTAATGGGATTGTTGAAGACTTCAACTATGGTACTTTGCTGCAACTAGATTGTTCTCAGGGCTACACTGAAGAAAACACCATCTTTGGCCCCAGGATACAATTCTTTGCCATTGAAATTGCTCTGAACCGGGAAGGCTATAACAAAGCTGTTTATATCAGTGTTCAGGACAAAGAAGGAGAGAAAGAAGTCAACAATGGAGGAGAAAAAAGAGCTGACAGGGGAGAAGAGAACACCAAGAATAGAGGAGAGAAAGGAGTTGATAGTGGAGAAGAAAAAGAGGAAGGAATCAACAGAGAAGAGGAAACTGACAAAGGAGGAGAAAAAGGGGAAGAAGCTGACAAAGACATCAACAAAAGTGGTGAAAAAGCTATGTAAGGTATACAGGGAGCAGCACTCTAGAAGCTGTGTGTCAATTGAGCCTACAAGCACCACAGTGCTACTTGCACAGACCTCTTTGGTTAAATGTAAATTCTTGTGCAATTTAAGAACACTCAGGAAGACATCCTTCTAGCCTAATAGGATCTGCTCTTGTGGTTCCCTTGTATGAACTGTCCTAAAGACTAATAGTGGGGTGTTAGTTGTTTTTTTTCTGGTGTACTGTTTTTTGGCTGTCACCACTGGTCAAGTAAGAAATTTTGTAAATAAATGTCTTTTGGTTCTTTTTTATCTGTATCCCTGACTGAGTTTAAAAAGGTATTTGACACTTGAAATTTTTTTCAAATATATAATCTCATCATCAAAAAAACAGAGGCAACAGTCAGCTAAATGATTTTAAGCTCAGGCTTCCAATAAGGATTATATGGCCAGTTTGAAAAAATACCATCACCTGTCTTCCCCTACAGGTTCCTTTCTTTTTTTCTGATTATGTTAAAAGTAGGATTTACAGGGCCAGTTGCAGTGGCTCACGCCTGTAATCCCAGCACTTTAGGAGGCCGAGGCGGGTGGATCACGAGGTCTAGAGATCAAGACCATCCTGGTCAACATGGTGAAACCCCGTCTCTACTAAAAATACAAAAAATTAGCTAGGCATGGTGGCATGTGCCTGTAGTCCCAGCTACTCAGGAGGCTGAGGGAGGAGAAATGCCTGAACCCAGGAGGCAGAGGTTGCGGTGAGCCGAGATCGGGCCATTGCACTCCAGCCTGAGTAAC